CCTCCATCTTCTTAGATGATCTTAGAGATCTTTTCCAACCTTGATGATTCTGATTCCCCTCTGCATTTCATTTGTCATTCTTCCTCACAGACCCCACAGATCTGCTTGCAGAGAGGCGTGACTGAGTGTGGCATGTGGCAAGCCCTGCCTGCTTTCCTCTCTGTGGCTGCACAGCTTGTCTGAGCCTATCTGGTGCAAGCCCTTAGCCCAGGGCAGGCTCTCACTCAGGATCTGCATAGACACTGAATGGATGGTTTAGGCAAAGCTCTGTTGTTTTTTTCTGTCTAGTTTCCCCAACCAACTCACAGTTAATCCATGACATACAACATTCATCAAAGGGCACTGGACTATTCGTGTGTGTGTCTGTCCAGCTGAGAAGCAAGTGAAAAGATGCAGACCCACTTTGACATTGTCTATCACTTATATATCACTTAGCTCTCCAGATAACCTGAAAGCTTACCAAGAGTCAAGAGGACAAGACTGCTACTGCGCATGCCCTGGGCAAAGCAATCCAAAATCTTAGTGGGTGTATCAGCTCCAGGAATTTCTCGCCCATTTGCTGTGAGTTTGGATGCTAGAATTCAGTTGGAAAACAGAAATAGATGGACTTGTAGGGGGAGGACAGAAGAAAGAAAAACTTTAGTGCATTAAAGCACCATTACTTGCACACAAACAGAAAACCCACAGGAGATCCACAAGATAAGCACGGAGACATAGATACTTAAGTGCTAGTAATCCAGAAGTTCTTCCAGCCAAAACTATTCTATCACTGGAATGTTTGAACCTGCTGTAAGGAGAATATAAAATAGGATCAGAGATTCAGAGGCTGCATTCATACTGAGCTTTCTTTGCAGAGGGAGAACAGGCTCAATTTTCTTTTTGCAGTACTCCAGACTAAGGCTGCAGCTAAGATACGTGCTGGGATTAACTTTAAGGTAGCCATCTTGGATATCAATAACAGCATAGCTGTGTGGTCACAGCCCGCTCCTCAGCCCCATACCCTTGGTAAATTCAAAACTTCACGGACAAGCTTATCTATGTTGTACTCATTTTTAATACATAAGGTAGTCAGAGCGTTGTGTCTGCTGCTGGATTGCAGGGCAGCCATAACAGCAACAGCCTCCTCTCACCAAACCCAGTAGACCAGCCCAACAGCCCCTGCCATTTCTTTGATGCGGTGCCTCAAATGCAGCAGAATACCCTCACACCTAGGTGGTCAACCCTGACCTTTCAGCACAGGTGTTTGCATTTGCATGGGCATAACCCAAGTGACTACCCAACCAGCTCAGCACCACTGAACTGCTCTTTGTCTCTGTTCTCCAGGGACATGGCGTAAGGAACAGATGCTCCAATACCCTCCCCTTCCCAAATACACATTGCCTTGTCCACTCAGCTACCAGCCATGCTGGTATATCCTGGTGCCAGGGCCTGTCTTGCCTCAGAAAGCTCGTGAGGTCCCCTGATTGCTATAGAGACGGCCTCTGCGTGGCTTGGGGCAAGGTGGAGGCTGCCTCTTCTGTTTGTTTACAGGAGATGGAATCCAAACAAGGGAAGAGTCTTGGAACAGTGCAGCCAAGTGCACTATAAAATAGTGCTTTAAAAAGCCACAAGGTCACCTTTGCTATCATTTGGTTAAGGTTAAGGATTTTATAGAAGTCACAGGACTAGAGATGGACTTGTGATGCCTGTGATCACAGGGGAGGGAGAGATTTATGTGCTGGCTGAGAAGGCTTCATTGTTGTATCATATTCATTAATGGTCATTTATTAGCTTCTTGGATAAAAGAGGCTGATTGGGAATTCTCACTTGCTGTAATTCCAGCTGGCTTCCTTGACTTTGCCTGCATACCTTCATGACATATAATACCCCTCCTACTTACTGGTACCCTGCAGGTACCATACCCTCACACTGTCTGTCTTCTCATTTAGTTAGACATCAGCAGAACTTGATTTCACTACTGTATTTCATTTATGCACAATGTTAAAACTGACACATATCATCCTCTTACATGAAGAACCAGCACAAAAGCATGCAGGAATCTGAAGGATTTGGCCAGAGGAGCTTTGCTGACAATATGTATTGTGAGCCTGGTGCTTGTGTATAACTGTGAATGTTGAGCCTGGCACAGTCCAAGCCAGCAAGAACGCACCCTTGAGCAAAGCTGAGAACACTGAGTCTAAGGAGCTGGAGGATGTGCTCTGATCCCATGCACCTAAAGAAAAAGCCTTGGCAGGCAGACAGGACTGCGTCAAAGGAACACCCAGCTCCACCACTGCTTTCTGTTCCTCTGTGGCTTAACATAGAGGAGAGGTTTTGGTTACTAGGAGCTGTGACAAAGGTACTGGAAGCACATGGTGTGCCTAAGCCTCCTTAGCAAAATTCTGTGTCGCGCAGACGTTGTAGCCTCATGGCACTGCCATATCTGCTCAGTGATCATGATGAGGCTGGAAACTTCCCATCCTCTTCCTCACGTCAGTCCCACAGAGAGGGGCAAACATGGATGGTGCCACAGATTTCACCTCAAGGGGCTAGATATGTCTCGTAGTTTGCCACTGGAGCCCAGTCCCTTTCTCCCGCTGAGCTGACCCAGAGACAGACCACAGGATTAATTGTGTGGTTCCCAGCACCTGGCTGTAGTCGGTGTGCACATGCCAGAGTGAGGGGCTGGCAGCCACACAGTCCACTTCCCATCTTGATACCAGGAACGTGTATGTGACACCTGGTTGAGCTAACTGGGGCCCAGCCTTCTCATGCAAAGCTATTCCTGGAAAGGAGGCAGGGCAATTTCAGAGCTTATCCTAATACAGTTGATCTTACTGATGGACTTCGTCCCACACATAGATCAGAAAAGCTGTTTTCCAACAGCAGCATAGAAAAAGTGACTCCAACACAGATTCTCAATCAATATATCAGGGAGGCCAGAGATCTTCTCCACTCCAATCCCTTTCACAAGCAACCTACCTCAGACCCATATCTGACTAGCATTGTTTTCAAGATGCTCCCTTGCAAACTGACAGAGGGGGTAAGGCAGGGTGAGTGAAGGGTCAGCTCTCCCACTGTACCAGGAAATATTCCAGGTAATGATAACCAGTAGCTAGGCACAATATGCATGCAGGTTCTCCCTCCTCCACCACGTTGCCTTACATAAATATATCTAGAGGTGACTACAGTGCCACTCAGACTGACAGAGGCAGCTGCCATAGCGGAGCTTTTAATCCCAAAGCAGAGCCTGTTGTCACTGGCAGGAAATGTTATTGTGTTGGACAGGCAATCCTAGACCTTAATTAAATAGGTTGCCCTTCCTGCGAGGCCAGACAGGCCAGACAAGAGTCAGAAGGAGCAGCCTGCTTAAGCCAGGGACCACCTGGTTGTAACTTCATCTGTGTGACAACATATGCTTTTGTGACTCTCTCTGAAAAGTTGAAACCCTAAGCAAGTCCCCAGAGGTATAGTGAGGATTTATAAAGAGCAAGAAATCAGAGATGCTCTGTTCTGCAGGGGAATTCATTCCTTCTCCTTTCAGAGACTGAAATTTTGTGGCCTTTGCCCTGACCAAAGACCTGGTAGATCACACTGGTTTGAGATGATTGATTTGTAAGGGAGCTGGTGGCTCCTGCTGTCTCTACTGCACACAGCCCCATAGTGAGTGCTTTGAACCAGGCTCTGCTTGTAGCTCCTCATTTTAAGCACCTCATTTTTCTTTCTCATGCTTGTCCTCATGCTGTCTCTGGGAGATAAACTGCATTACTTTTTCCACACCAGAAAAGAGCAACGGTGTTGTCGCCATATATTTTCCCTCACAAGAACCCAGCCGCTCACCTCTGTGACATCCCATTGCTGTGCCTGGATGTGACTGTCGTGGATGTTCTCACCCCTGTGCACACATACAGAACGACAGCAAGCTGCACACTTTCTGCATGGAAGCAGTGTGGGTGCATGTACCTGAAGAGAGTCACAACATTGTACTGGCTAGGCCCTAAGCTGAGTGATGGGGAGGAGGAGGAGGAAGGAGCACAGATTCCAGTACTCACTGTGGAGTACAGCTGCCCTTCCAGTAGGTAAACTGCACAATTCCCATACAGTCAGGCCGTGAACTTGGGCATCAGGTCAAGACCTTGCAGAGACCACCCAGCAAAACCGCAAAATGGGATGGACAGCAAAACTCACGGTTTGAAAGCACCCATTGCTATTAAACAGACCTGTGGCAACCTGCATGTGAACAGCAAGACATGGCGATGGAATCCCTTCAGCACAAAGCAAAGCGCGGAGCACTCATGGGTAGCTCAGAGCCATACATCCCTTCCATGTCCCCCGAACTCAGCCCTAAGCCTCAGCCTTCAGTCATGGAGTGCTTCTTAGCCCTGAGGCATGGAAAGAAGGACCAGGTCACATCCCCGTGGTGACATGTGAGTGCCCGAGTCCCCTCATGCCACTCAAGTTATGGGCTGCTACCGTGTCACCAGCACTGGAGGATGGGATCGTATACAGAACACTGTGCTTCTGCCATCTCGTTGGAGTGAATTACACAGCATCAGTGCAGGAATTTTTATTTTCTGTGTAACACTTATTTTGCTTCCCAGAGCCACACAACTTTACATGCATAGCAGCAGCTGCCGGAAGCCTACAGATCACAGAGCACACTACTCCTTATGGTTTTGCTAACACGAGTTTAGCAGGTTGCCAAGCTGACAGACCCTGGAGACCGACTGCGTTCACCCCCATGAAACAAGGTAACAACAGCGATGGTGCTGAAAGCTTTCCACAGTCACCTGCTAACAGTCTCACCTGGGGGAGGAATCAGATGCCATGTCCCCACTTCCCACTCTGACGTCCCTTTTGCACCTTTGAGTTCTCTCTTCACCCACTCCTTTACCACACTCCTCAACACGCCCCGTGTTCTTCCACATCCCTTCAGCTCCTGCCACACCATTTCCCTCTTGAATGAGACTGGGTGTTGGGGACGAGGAAAGAAAAAGGACACAGAAGAAATAAGCAGAAGGTGACAGATAACCCCTTATATTATTTTTCCTAAGAAAACAGATTATTTCTTTTGCATACATGAAGCCAGGGAAGGACAACAATTTATCATGGACATCACTCTGAGTGCCTCTGTGCTGCCTAGGGTGACTCTTAGCCTCTCATTCAAGCATTCCCACGCATCGTGGACGGCCAGTTGGAAGATGTCCAGAGTAGTGCTGGGGAAGCTACTCTGAGATGCACGGCCAGGCCTCCATCGTGGTGTCCTTCTGCATACATGCTAACCCTGGAAACCAAACTCCTTGTACTTGCTGGCCATGTCATTTCGGAACAGCTCCAGAGCCTTCTTCATCGCAGCCTGGGAATCGGCCCCAAAGTCTGCAGCGTGTTTTTCAGCAATGACCTTGATAATGACTTCAGAAATGAACTGTGAGGAAGGAGAGGGAGAGAAAGAAGAAGAAAAAAAAAAAAACAGAAGGGACTGTCAGGGTTTATTTTCAGAATATCCAGACTAAAAAATAGGTTGCAGAGCCTGGAAATATCTCCAGGCTAATTCAGTAGCCCTTCCAGCAGTCTCTAGAGAAACACTGTGGTAGTGTATGTGAGGAGCCTTGGCTGGGCAGAGGAGTTGGGCTCTGTTCCTAGCTCGGACACTGATATACTCTGTGACCTTGAGTAGACCATAGTCCTTCCCACTCTTTGTCTGCCCATCCACTAAGGCTGCAAATCCACATTATGCACTTGTGAAGTTGCTTAGTTTCATGAGTCTTGGTCTCCAGTTCTTCCCCCAGGGCTCACTTTAAACTGTACATCCCTTGCGTACAGCCACTGCTAATTCTTATGCAATGTCATTTCTCAGGCATGCAGGGACTGCATGGACTGGTTTATTATTGTTAGGAGTGTCTCAGACAGTGCACAGTGTTTAGAACGGGAAATTGAATGGAGATTCACAGGAGCTGAGTACTTCTGTGCCTCCTCTTGCCTGTACACAGAGACCTTTGACTTGAGAAAGTGCTAAGTGAAGTCCAGTTAGACATCTCTAAATAGAACCATAGAATCTTTAATGTTGGAAAGACCTCTAAGATCATCAAGTCCAGCCACCTGCCCATCCTCACTATTCCCACTGACCATGTCCCTCAGTGCCACATCCACATGGTTCTGGAACACCTCCAGGGATGGTGATCCCACCACCTCCCCGGGCAGCCTGTGCCACTGCAGCACTGCTCTTTCAGTGAAGAAATTTACCCTAATTCCCAGCCTGAAATAGAAGTGCTGCTCTCAATGTATCTGTCTTGCACACATCCATCACACATCAGCCACCAGGTTTCCCTGTCTTTTCCATACCTCCAGATATTTTACTGGGATTTTGTGCTTCGTGGCATGGGTTTGAGCCAGGGGTTTCAGCTCTGACTCATGATTACCCTTCTGCTTCAGGATTTTGCCAAGCTGGGTGAGGACGGTAGCTCCATGTTTTTTCAGATCTTCAGAGGCCTTCATCTGATCAGGGGTCTTCAGGCCTTTGAACTTATCAAAGCGATCCAAAGTCTCAGGGTGGTCATGGAAAAGTCTGTGGACAGAAGCAGAGGGATGTGTGAGACATTAGGGAGCTGTCAGCCAGAGCAGAGCCAAGGTCCTGCTGATCTGGATGCACACAGACAGGCAAATGTATGATAACTTACATCCCTCCCCAAAGAAATCTCTTACCCCCTGCTAGTAAAGGCTGCTTTCACTTGAGAACTCTGATGCTTTAGACTCTTTCCAAATTGTCACCATTCACAGTCACTGCAGTTAGCACATATATAATCCAGGAAAGCATCTGACCCTACTCTGATCCTGTGTTTTTCATCCTTCCTCTGGGAGGCTGTTCCACAACCTGATGACACTCTGTGTTCAGAAGTTTATTTCACCATCTGTTTTATCCAGGCTGCTTTTTATCATTAGCAACTGATAAAATGCCTCTTGTCTTTGGAGTGCAGAAGCTCGTGATGTACCTCCCTATGAGTATTGTATCTACTTTAATCCCATGCTCTTAGATGTCCTAACATTCACTCTGGCCGAGACAGAGACTCAGTGGCCCTAACCACGTCCAAGTGGAGCAACAGAGCAGCCATCCTTATTTCTGAATAGCTCTGCTAACGCTTTGGCATCAGTCCCCAGTTATGACAACGGTATCAGGACAGAGATGGGTGCCAAGGCTGGTGGTGGCACTGGGAGGTGAATTCTCACATTAACCTGAAGGAGAGACAAAACCAGACAAAACCACCTATCTACACTGCTTCGCTAAGGATCCATCCTCTACTTCCCCCAGCCTGTCACCCTGTCAGCTACTGCAGACCCCAGGCTCTCACTAAGACCTCCTCAGCCCATCTCTGCATTGACCAGTGCCATTCAGTGCTATACACAGATGCTCTGATTCCAAAGTGGAAATGAAATTGGGAAGGCTGGTGTTGTCCCGTGCTTCCCCTCTGCTGCATTTCCCAGCTGACTCCACTGGCAACCAAACTGCAAGGAAACTTCACTCTTTTCCTCGCCTAGAGCCGGAGTGAGAAGGGAAGACTGCCTGTCCTGGTTATTAGGAGCGGTCCGATAATTTGGTGTTGAGAGACGTCAGCGCCGTTGCTCACGTGTATTTGTGGGCATTATGCCCTTTGAAGGACATAACCCAAGTCGCTGCAGCACCAGCAGGAGCAACAGCAGTATTTACACCCATCCCAAACCAAACATTCCTCCCCTATAGGTGGCCATTAGGATGAGGGCCAAACTCTCCATTATACGATGTAAGTGTAGGTCAGGCTGCATTAACAAATACCTCAGCTGCATGGAAAACACAAGCTGTCTTGCAGCAAAAACATTCTGTGACCAGGCTTTGCTGGCGTCTCCTTCCAAAGGTCTCTCTTTGTGTCCTCCACGATTAGATATTCCCAAGACTCTTGAAAATTCTTTCAAGGAGTATTTTGTTTGTGTGTTTGTTTCCATTGGAAAACATCCAGTTGGATCAATGTTTTCTGAACATATTCCCTGGATATGTTACCTACCTAAAAAGTCTTTACCAAGGCACAAGCAGGCACATTTCTAAACCAAGTCTGCTCCGCTTCCCCTGCTTCTCTCCCTCAGAAAACCCCTGAAGAAATGAGAAATTACATGAGAGAAGCTTTGAACGGGCCGTGGCTTTGCCCAGTGGTGTGGGCTTCTTGCTTTATCTGTGCTTGAAATAGGAAACCCCGGATACCCACCGGTGTCCTCAGCATCCGTACCCTCCTGGCACTGAGTGCTGAGCACAGCCCAAGGGCACTCTGGAGAGGGCTCCAGCCCTGCTGGTCCCTAAGGACAGGCAGAGATACTGTGCCATTTTCCACTCCAAAGCCCTGAGATCTGACACATGGAGTGGCAAAAGCACAGCCTCTCCATTTCTAACCCAGAAACCACAGCAGTGGAAAACCACCACCTTACACAGAAACAAAACAGCCTGTTGAAACGCACGCTGCTGAGCCCCCATACTCAGCATTCCTTGGTCTCTCACACAAAGCTCTCAGCTCACGACCGATGCTCGTCGCCTACCTCATCAGAACCTCGTGTCCATGGCCAGCAATGTCGGCCTCCACTTTTCCCCAGATGGTGAGGACTTGTTGCCACTCCTGGTCGCTGAGCCCCATGGTTCGCTGGTGGCAGGGACAGATGGGTCTCAAGTGCTGCGTACGGCGGTTGCCTCTCCCCAGAGGGTGGCTGCAAAGCTCACCCGCGGGTTTTATAGCCCCTCCTCGTAGACCTACACCTGTTAATCGTCAGCTGGACATCTTGCTCTCTTTCAGGCTTGTCTAACTAATCAGCCTCTCTTTTTTTTTCTAGGAAGCTATTTCGGGTCAGGTGCTATTGTGAGTGCCACTGATGGCATCATTTCTGCCTTTCGTATTGGACTGGCACATGTCCCGCGCCAGATAGAAAGGGCATTGCCCAAATGCACTGCCAGGAGCCTGTCCCGGCTTCCCGAGGTCCCACTGACAGTGTCAAGCTGTGCAGCAGGAGATTCCAGAAGAGCACATTCATCTGCCAGGCCACGCTGCCAGCCAAGGGACGGCTGGTGGCATCACTCCGCCTTCCTCACGTCTCTCCTTTCCCTGCAGTGGGGTAAGGTCTCTCAAGCCAAGTGTCAGAATCACAGAATCACAGAGGCATAGGAATTGAAAGGGACCTCTGGGGATCATCAAGTCATACCCCTCTGCTAAAGCAGGTACCCTGCAGTAGGTCAAGTAAGGCAAGTCGCCATGAGCCACCACGGATGTGATTTTGGGGTACCTCCCAGCCTTCCTCAGGACGGGTGGCAGCCTGGTGTGCCATCTTTAATTAATCCCTTCCAAGAGGTGAATAAGAAAGGGTTAAAGGGGACAGCTTAGTAGGCAGGTTGACCAAACCAGCTGAGGTGATGGCTGCCATCCAAGCCCAAAAGTAGGGGAATTTCTCCCGCTGGGTTTATCTATGGCCTGGTGGCCAAGCAATTCTCCCCCCTCTATGCACCAGTTTGCAATGTCTGAAATCTTTCTTCTTAAACACCTCAAGGCCAAGATTTCACCCCCCGTTTTCCCAGTGCAGATAGCAGGGCACTATCAATTACCCACACTTGGCTAAACCGATGGAGGAGCGCTTGGAGAGATCCCACCCCGCAGCCTCTCTCCTCAAGTCCTCCTTGTTCTAAACATGGATTTGCAACACGCTTGGCTCCGCCTTGGGCAGGATCCTGAATGCTGACCTTACTGCTTTACATGCCCTTCAGACACGAGAGCAATGTGCTCCCAGTACACGAGGGGCTGCTCCTTGGACACCGAGCTCCATCCTATTCCACAAACTGAAGCTGTTGCCTTAATATCTACCATTGAGTTTGGTCGGCACTTCTCTCTCTACAGCTTTCTCCAGGGCTGGGAAGCCAGCAGTCTCTGTGCGGACATTAACACCAGATTGTCAGAGGGCTTAACAAGAATACGGGTGTCCTCGTTGCTTTTTCTGCAGGTGAAGCGGCGATGGCCCCGCGCTGTCGGCCAGGGCATGCTACCACCTAGCGGCCACGGGCGACAGAGCCAAGCAGAGCGTGGCACGGGCTGCAGGGAGCTGGACACACGGGGACAGCCCCGCGCTTCTGGCCCGCATTTCTTTCTCCTTAGAGCATCGCTGTTGCAGAGAGAACGCAGCCCCGGTCGGTCAGATGAGAGCCCCGCAGCCCCGCGCTGCAATGATTCCGACCTTGAAACGAGCACCTGAGGCAGAGGCACTGATAAATCCTACTGTTTGATTTGTGGGTTTTGCTGTTGTCTTTTTTTTTTCTTTTTTCTTTTTTTTTTTTTTCATCTTCATTTGAAACACTTTCCAGCAGCAGGGAGAAAAGGATGCTCAAAAAACACCCAATTTTAACAACCCAGAGCATCTTCTGTGTTTGCACTGCAGAGCAGCTCAGCTCAGCGAACAGATTTTTCGATCGTTCCCTTTTGTTTGCCTTTTCAATGAACCTTTTCCCCATGATGCAATTAAAAGAACCCCACCAGAAGCAGGGCATGGCTGTGGCCCGGCCATACTGTGGTGCCCACCTCTGTGCTGGGGGATGCCAAAAAAAGCTGGGCATGTTATGTAACTCCCAATTACATAATTAGCATTGCATAATGCTGGGGAAAAGGCCCTCTGCAGCCCAGCTTCGGTATCTGTGGCATTTTGCTGATGCGTGGCTTCTGCTAGGAGATGGAGCCGCACTTTGTTTTCAGTGCCTGTGGTTTGTGCAGTGCGGATGGGCAGCCAGACAGGTGGGACACTTCACTCCCCTGTAGTGTGAGCTGGAGAGAGCAGGGCAACAGCAAATCCTACAGCCAAAGCAAAGCAACAGCATTGCATTTTCCCAGCTGTGCCTGGCTCCAGTTTTTGCAGGAACAGAAGGCACTGCATGTACTGCGTGGCTTCTGCCTCTTGCAGGAGAACTGGTGGGACAGGCTGGTGCTGCAAGCCCATCTCCTCTCTCTTCTCATTCTGAAGCTCTATTCTTAGCAGTGCTGCAGGCAGGGCTCCCATCCACTGATGGATTTCAGCAGCTGGGAGGTGACCTCAGTGCCTGTTTGAAAGGAAGAGGGAGAATGAGGAGAAGGCAGCACTAGGGGAATGTTTGAGCCTTCACAGAGCCGTGCTATGCATGGAGCATCTTAGCATGGGATGTCATTAAGTCAAAGGGAACTCTGCCTTCATTCAGTACTCAGAGGGATCCGGACAGGCTGGATCAATGGGCTGAGACCAATGAGATGAAGTTCAGCAAGTGTTGGGTCCTGCACTCTGGTCACAACAACCCCATGCAGTGCTACAGGCTTGGGATGTGGCAGCTGGAAAACTATATGGAAGAAAATGTTCTGGGGTGTTGGTTGACAGCCAGCTGAACATGAGCCAGCAGTGTGCCCAGGTGGCCAAGAAGGCCAATGGCATCCTGGCTTGTATCAGCAATAGTGCAGCCAGCAGGAGCAGGGAGGTGACCGTATCTCTGTACTCAGCTCTGGTGAGGCTGCACCTCGAGTGCTGTGCTCAGTTCTGGGCCCTTCACTGCAAGAAAGGCATTGAGGTGCTGGAACCTGGGGATTATACCTCATATTGCTGTAGTGATTCCCAGGGATTTCTGTCCTACAGACCAGAATAATAAGAGGGGAATTCCTCTCATTGCCACAGTGAGCAGGTGGGAAGCCCTCCTCCAGCTACCAGTGCTTAGCCAGAGGCTGCTATATTGGACTGGGATGCGAAGCCACCTTCTAAGCTCATCTTCCCCTATGCATTACCATTCCCACACAAAGCACTCCCTCAAGAAACCAGATTTTTCCCTTCTATGAAGCAGCAGCAACTGCAGCAGTCCCCTATCCAGTACTGCTTTCTGTGCATCAGCATTCTGAGAGGGTATGCCAGAAACATCTCTATACAGAAAAATCTGGGTAAAAAATAAACGTTTTCTTCGAGCCGATCAACACCGGGTGGCAGCGAACACCCTGAGCACAGCCTTGGTGGAGCAGGGCATCTACCACTGCACTGGGGACAGGCTCTGTGTTTGCAGGATCTTTTCCCCGTTATCATCATTCTTGCAGCTTTGCCTCCTCCTGATTCTGCAGAGATCTACTGGCTTGTCAGCTCAAGGATCCACAGTGCCCATCACACACTGCAGCCCACGGAACGGCCGGCAGAGCTGGCGGCAGCGCTTTGTGCTGGGGATGCTCACCAGAGAGTTGGATGGCTGTGGCACTGAGGGACGTGGTCAGCAGGCACGGTGGGCATGGGCTGGTGGTCAGACTGGGTGATATTAGTGTTTTTTCCCAACCTTAATGGTTCTCTGATTCAGTTGCCTTGTTAAGGTCGATGAAATCACAGTGGTAGGACCAGAAGACTGCACCCTGGCCTATCAGAGCCACCTGCTCCCATAGGGTAACCCAGGCAGATCAGTCAGACAACACTGTGAACGTCTTAGCAGATACAACTGCTGCAGGCAGCCTTCTTTAACACGGCTTAGGCTATGCAGACAGGAAACAACATCACCAGAAGCCATCAGAGGTGAGAAGAGGAAAAAGAAAAAAGAAAGGCCAATGCACTCCTTGGCAGGAGCTTATTTACCAAACAGCTGGTGGATGTGTGCCTAATTTGCACAGGGTAAGAAAAATAAAGGTGCCTGCTGCGAGTGCAAAGTTATTGTATGCAGAGTGGGATAATTTCATGCTACACAATTACTACAGATTAGGGTAGAAATAATTAAACAGAAGGTTGTGCTCTGAGGCAGAGCTCCCCTGGCACCAGATTCAGGTCTGTGTGGAAGCTCATGCTCTTAGATGCTCCCAGAACCAAATCCCCAAACTCCCCAGCAGCTCAGCCACCTGCTGTGCCCTTTGAAGTAATATCTCAGAGTTTAATTTAAGTCTTTCTCCCCCTTTCTTACCTTCAGTTTCTCTCTAACCCACACTGCGAATTCCACGAGTTCTCACTCCATCTTCCCCTATTGTCTCTGCAGGAGCATCACTGGGCGCTGTCTCTGTGCCCCTGTCCCACCTGGGCAGGGATGAGGGACCTCCAGTCGCTTGCTGGCAGTGGCACCCCTATGTCAGGGCAGGGGGCTCTGAGGCTGCCAGGAGCCAGAGAGAAGTATCATCAGCCTGAGGGAGGTTGATACCATTTGCTTTCTTTCTTTCTACTTTTTTTTTTCCTCCCAGCCTGAACTCACAAGTGAACCAGAAGCCGAGATTTTGGACATCTCTGCTCAGGAGTGAAATTACAACAGCGGCGAATGCTTTTCAAGTGCCTCAATGAAGTATGAAGCGTGCTCCTTCCTTTCTGTCTTTGCCCACACATGCATGTATCGGCCTCCCTCCGTCTCCGCCAGTGCATGACCTCAGGCAGTGAAGCAGCAGAAGAGCATTAACCCACATTTGGCCCAGACCTTCGCCGTTCCCTACAGCTGTGCAGCCTGCCATGCGTGGAGCTGCCCAATTGCACCCACATCGGGGGGGGGCACAGATGGTTTTGGGGCTGGGGGTTGGTGGCTCTGCACGGCTGCGCACTGCCCAAGGTCCAGCTGGGGAGACAGCACTAAGCAATCTGGCCATGCGCTCATCCCCATGACATGGCTGCAATATCCCACTGCATTCTGGCTTAGACACTGGCAGGGAGAGGTTTCACAGTGATGGGCCCAGTAGGAACCCATTAGGAGGGGTGTCTCATGAATGCCTACCACCCACACCTGCAGAACGCAAACTGCAGAAGCGTGTTGCCCGCTACCTGCGTATTCCCAACATTTTACACAGCCAAACAGTGACTTTTTGTCCATTAAAAAAAAAAAAATATATCAAAGAAAACAATCTAATTACAGGATAAATATTTAGCTTGAAATGAGCAGACAGATATTCAAAACCATTCTGTGACATGACAAATGATCTGAAAGGAGCTTCGCCGTGGGCGCTGTGTGCTGTTCAAACGCAATTTAAAAATACATGGCGTGGCAGCAAAAATAGACGTGACCCTGAGCACAAACATCACTGCTCAGACAAACATCTCCTGTAAAATGCCGTCCATTATTTGGATGGCAGCCAGACCTGGGGACAGCGTCACCCACCTCCATGAGCTCTGCTGCCATCAACTCGTGCTGGCTTGTGGGCCTTGACACGGACGCCAGGCCTTGCTGAAGTCTGAAGGGACGCTCCTGTCCCCTTACTCCCATGGCTGGACCTTGGCAAGCTCTTGGCATTCTGGACAAGCCCCAAAATGTCCCTTGCTGCCTTTACCATGGCTAAGTTATGGGACGTGAGCCAGGTAGCGTGGGAAGAACAAGCTTTAAACCCTGAGGAATTCACATCAGAACTCACAGGAGTGAAGGGATGCAACCACACGGGGGTTCTCCCCATATGGGGATCACAGTTATAGGCACAGCCTGGTGTGATTTAGGAAAAATAGCTCTCAGAAAGAGCGGTGCTGCAGTGGCACAGGCTGCCCAGGGAGGTGGTGCAGTCACCATCCCTGGAGGTGTTCCAGAACCGTGTGGATGTGGCACTGAGGGACGTGGTCAGTGGGCATGGTGGGGATGGGCTGGTGGCTGGACTATGTGTCATAGAGGCATTTTCCAACATTTCTGATTCTATGATTCTATGAAAAGGCCGCAGGCTGTGTAGAAGAAAGGAGGTTCATCCATCACCTCTGCTATTCCCACTGCAAATTTCCTTGGATTTTCAGCAGGGATGCTCAGACTGGGATAACTAATAGAGAACAATGCAGCTTCAGGAGAACTACACAGTGGTGGAGAGGGAAGGGATGCATGGATCATTAAGAGAGAAACAAAATCCCTACAGTTCACTAGAGAGGTGCACACAAGAGTCTGGCTGTCCTCCAGACCTTGTTTTCCAGCCTGTTGGCTGCCCATAATGATGCTGCTGCTCTGGCCCCTCTCTGCCTTTGGGACTCTCAACATCTCACATCTGCCCAAGGAGATCCGAGCACAGACCCACCATGCACCTGCCCAGGTCCATGGCCCTGCAGCAACAGCCCTGCTGAGGGATGTCCCCATGGAGCACCAAGTGGTTCTTCTCCCCTCAGGCAGCTCTGAGCCTCGCACCTGCATGAATCTGGCCAAAGGCGCGAGCTTTATCTGGAGAGCAGCAGCACAGAGGGGGTGCGCTGATGGGGAACAGCAAAGACCCAGAGGTTTTCTGCACGGTGAGGTTTCCCAGCCTCTGGCAAAGAGCAGAGGACGGCAGCAGGAGGCTGTGTTGGCAGTGATGCAAACACGTGAGGGCTGCTGTTGTCGAAGGGCTCCATGAAATCAGTGATTTCCGAGCGGAGTTCAGCCGGAGCGCGCAGGGGCTATAAAAAGCAAAGTGACTTTGCGTTTTGACGCTTCCTCCCGAGACACACAGAAGTGATTTGCGATTCAAAAGATGAGGAATTTATCATCAAAAAGAGCTGGGACGGAGCTCGGTGTTTACACATGGAAGACAGGCACCGAGAGCAGATTTATTTATACCCACCCATTAATAAAAGAAGCCAAGTCAACCATACCTTTGTGCTAAAGTTAGAGTGCAGCACTCGGCATGTCCTTAAAAAGGCAAGAAAGTTTCTGCAAACTGGGACAGCTGCTGGGGGTGCTGGCTCTGCATGGCTCCCAGCATGGATGCGTTGCTGCAGCAAATTGGCCAAAGGCTGTGAAGCTCCTGCTCTGCTGCTGCTGCAGGGAGAGAAACGGGAGCACGCAAAAGCTGGAGGAGCAGCAGCACTCAGTTGTAGGGGCTTCGGCCATAGGGCAAAGGCAGAGCAGCCAGGCCAGCGGGCGAGTCAGCAAAGAAAGTCAGCAGTAGGGCCAGCCAGCATGAGTCACTGGAAGCTCCGGGCTTGGGATGTGACATTTAGAAGTGCTTCAGCCATAACTCACTGCAGTGAGTCCCACAGCCAACACAGAGGGCTGGACTTTTCCAGTCTCAAGACCCAAACGCCAGGGTGTGTTACAGCCCTAGGAAAGCCAGATCTTTGCTCCTTGTAAGGCACTTCTAGAAAGCAACTAATTGCCCTTCTTTGGGGCGAATAAGCAGATGAGCTCTGGCAGTCTCATCTCCCTCACTCCTGCCACCTCCAGCCCCAGCTGCTCCGGCTCAGCCCCAGCTGCAGGAACCATGCAGCGCAGCCATGCTCACATGGACGTTAAAATTGAGAACGACAAACCCATCTTGCCTGAACCAAAGTGAAAGGCTATCAGAAGAATTCCCAGGCCATCATCCTGAAGCCAGGATAGTCAATAGGAGACCAGCAGTGAACTCCAAGCAAAAGTCACCCCGCTGCTACCCTGGGAATCGGGACTTCTCCCTGGGCATCAGTACCTGCCCACCAGATCACCAGGCCAGGGACGGATGCATGGTGCAGGGCCTCCTTCTCTGCAGCCACTGGATCAGCACTGAGACACTTCCATCCTAACTGCCCCTGCTCCCAACAGACCATTCTTTCCCTTGTCAGCTTGCTAAAGAATCACCATCATCCTCCTTGGACAAGCTTTATTTCTAGCAAGTTTACTTTGAGCAAAGCAGAAAGGTTACTGCATTGAGAAAGCCACTTTTTACGTGGCTGATAGTGAGCGGACAAGGAGAAATGGCTTTAACTAAAAGAAGGGAGATTTAGGTCAGATGTTGGGGAGAAATACTCAGAGGGTGGTGAGACGCTGGCACAGCTGCGCAGACACTGCGGTGTCCCATCCCTGGAGGTTCAAGGCCAGGTTGGATGGGGCTCTGGGCAGCCTGAGCTGGTGGGTGACAACCCTGCCCACGGATCAGGATGGGGCTGGGTGGGCTTTGAGCTTCCTTCCAAAATTGAGCTGCTCTGTGATTCTTTGACTGCTTGAAGGGCTTAACAGTCAGCCCCAAGAGCAGCCATTTTACCCACACGCCTTGAACTGAAGGCTGAGCCCTGTGCTGCCTTCTCTTCACTCTCTGAGCGCCCCACTGCCTCGTGCTTCAGTCCCAGCGCTGCAGGGCTTTATCTCCAGACGTCTCCTGATGCAGAGCCCCTGCTCCAGCTCTGCCACCATCACCCTGACTCCCAGGCATCTAATTTTAGCAGCTGCTGCTGAACATCCTCTCGAGTTATTGTTAGAATGCAGCGAGCATCATCTGACGGGAACACACTGCAGCTCCCCAGTAAACACCGCAGAGGAATGCTGGAGGAGCACACGCAGCCCCGCAGCGCTGCCCACAGCCCCTTCCTCTTGCGCCCGGTGTCTCGCATCTCCAAAACCAACCTAACAAACCCAGTGCTGGCTTCAGCTGTACTCGGCCCATTCCGCACCACCATCTCGCTCAGCTGATGCTTCCGTAATTACTTGCAAATTGCCCGCAGGGATTTATTATTTGTTATTTTTAGGCTCATTTCAGCAGAAAAGGCATCTGATTATTTGTGTGTGTGTATATATATATTTGCATGACATCTTTCACTCTGAGCATTTCACAGAATACGAATGAACTCCTGCTTGGCTGCTGCTGGTGCAGGTAGGAGGAGCGAAGCGGTGGCTAAAGTCACATCGGAGCTCCTGGAAGAGCGTGGGGTTACGGGCAGGCAGGCTGAGATCACACCAGGCTTCACCCATTACAAGACAATCACGTAGTCATTAAGGTTGGAAAAGGACTGTACTCTCATCTAGCTCAGCCATCCTCCTGCCACCCATATTACCCACCGTGGATCCATCTCCATCTCCCCCCCCTTCTGGCGGCGCCCTGCAGGAGATGCGCTGCTGGAACCCACCCAGGCACCCACAAACACACCGAGGAGCCGTCCGACTGGTGTTTCTCTCTTTTATTTAAAAACAGTGCTTCATTACCATTTGCAAAGGGTTAGGAAGGGTTTCCCCCCTTGCTTAGAGTTTATAAAAGCCAGCAACATGATCAATAATTTATACACATGGATAGTAATACAAAAAAAAGGAATAAAAGCTAAAGATCTAACTACTCCGACCTTCACAATTCCAGCTACTTGATAATTATAGGAATAACCCAATGAATACTGTATGGTCTGAAAGCTACTATACAATATGATACTTAACGAGGGAGGGTGGGAAGTCAAGAGGCTGTCACAAAGCCCTGGGATGCAGCTGCTGCTTCTCCAGAGTCAGCGGGGAAATGGGACCCTGGGCAAGCGGCTCGGGCGTCCTAGGAAATGAGCCAGGGGAAAGGGCCGCGTCCGTGGGGGCACGTCCCGCTCCCCAGTGGTACCTGGCAATGGGAGGTGCTGGGGGGGCCGTGGGGAGGGGCGACTCCGTCGCTGCCCCGGGAGGTGCTGCGGCATCTCGGCCTCGCAGGGGAACCCTCCGGCTCTTCAGCAGGTCGGCCTGGGGGGTCAGAGCCACGCTCCGCCAGCCGGCATCGCTCTGCGGCCCCGCTTTGAGGCTGCGGGCCCCAAGTTTGAGCTCCAGCTTATTTACAAGCAGGATTCTATCGTAGGAAAAGAAAAAGAAAAAAAAAAATCCCAAACAAAACAGAAAAAGAAGAAAAAAAAAAAAAAAAGCCCCAAACCAAATCACATCCCCTGGGGTAAAAGAGGATTATTTCGTCACATGGTAACGCAGCCAAATCCAAGCTGCCAAAACTACAACACGCACACAAAATACTGTGATCAAACAAACAAACAAACAAAATCATAGGAAAACATGACCACAACTGAGGCTGCTCCTGCAGGAGGCCTGAATGCTGCAAGGAACCCCATTCCTTGGGGAAGCAACGAGCCCCTCCAGCAGCAGAGAACTGGGAGCCTGGTACAAGATTTCTCATTGACCCAGTCCAGGAAAAAAAAAAAAAAGCAGGGGGTGGGATGGGGGTGGGATATGAAGTGGCATTTTACCAACTGCCAGCCAAATGAACGTTGGGATGGACGGCTTCAAACACCAGCAGGCTCCTGGTGAATCAGGTAAGGATTCTGGCTTGCCAACAGGCACAGCCCAGTACCCAGGGGATGATGACTGGTAGTGCTTCCCAACGTTGAGTCGGCAGCGGGGACAGGACCCAGACATCCCTCCATGCACGCTGGGGAGGGAGGGGGGCCATCCTGCTGAGTTCTGCTAGAGGAACACGTACTGGGGAAAAGCCCTGAGCCTGCTTGAGTAGGGCCCCATTTCACACGCTGGCCGTTGGCCTCCTGCTCGCCTTGGGGACTGGAGTTGTTGCAGAAGAAAGGTCTGACCAAAGTTTGAGGCTAGAAAGGGCAACCAGTAAAGTGGGGTGGAGGGAAGGGGCTCGTCAGACATTAACATCACCGAAAATAGTGTTTTATGCAACAAAGAATCAAGTCTCACTGGTGCATACTACAAAATGTTTGACATTTTCCAAGAGCATGACAAAAGAAAAACACAAAGAAGTTTACATCGGATGCTCATCGCATTCACTAGGTTGGGTTGGTTTCATTTCCCCCCCACTCCTATATTAAAACAGTGCAAACAGGTAACACGCTTCAACCATCACCCTCTGCACCAAGGGCTGCAGCTCCCACACGCTTCCCCTGCGGAGCCGGACCCAGAGCCTGCGGTGGTTTCCCTTTGATAAGTTTCCAACACTCCGCCCATCTCCTGCTTTGGGGCTGAGCTGGGATGCAGACAGGGAAGGGCTGGGGATGTATGCGGGTAGGAACCAGCGGGGGGGGGGCTCTGCACTCCCCGCTTCAGGAGCTCTCTACACCAGCCAGCAGCCCACATCTCTTTCCAGGATGAGAAGGGCGGGCGATGAGATGGTGGCACCAACGGTACCGCAGCTACACCTGAGCCTGGTACTCTGACAGCCCTCGTGTTGCACGCTTCCACAGATAAAATGGGTGAGAACGGGGGATAAACTATTACCTGTGCATTAGGGATGGGAAAGCAAGCCTAGGGCAGTGATGTGAAGGTCACTGACAGAGCGCTGACTGAACCACAGGTCTCCGCAACAAGCCCTCGCTGGGCCAGCCTGCTCTCCCTCAGGCTACTTCAAAACATGGCTTTGTCTCTCTGAACCCCTCACTGGATCCACCCAGACCTGGGTGAGCTCCCCGCTGGCTCAGCTCCCAGCACAGCTTTTCCTAAAGCTTTTCCTAGCAGCTGGTAATAGGGGGAGGTTTACGCTGCACACCAGGCACCGATGAGACCTATTCCCAGTAGAGAGTGTGCTACGCCAGTAGAATTCAGCTGTATACCAGCACAACTACACCCTCAAGGAAAGACAGACCGGCACACTATAGAAAAAAAAGGAGCTCATCAACTCAAAACTGTATCGGTATAACATGGTGCACTGGCCAGATCTGCTATAAGACAAAAAAAGACAGCAACACTCAGAGGAACTTCCCTTCCTCTGCACCAAGAGGAACCCTTGGGTGCCACCGGACAAGAGGTGACAGCAGCAAGCTCTGTGCCAGCCCGTGCTGCCCCTGTGAAAGCCAAGCCCTGGGGACTCGCCTGCAGAGCCTCCTCAGGGACAATGTTAGCTGCTGTCTGCCAGACAAGCCAGGACCCAGTTAAACTCATTAAGAGCAACTCATTTTGCATAGGGAGATATAGGCTCTGTCCTCACTCCTCCAGAAGACAGTATAGCCAAGGCTTGGCTGCTCTGAACGCACCTCATTAGGATCCAAGCAAAACCACACCTGCTGTTTGCCAAAGGGGAGCTCAGCACTCCCGCTGCTCACTGCAACGTTTCAGACTTTGGGAGCCTGGTGGGGAGCGATGGAAGCAGGAGAACCGGGATGCTCTGGAGCAGGTTTTACTTGGAGATCATACAGCGGGGCACCACAACGAAGCCCCCTGGCCTCTCAACAGACGCGGGTAGGCTGAAGCTGCCGTGCATAGACTCTGCTGGGAGGCAGAAATGGGGCCGGCCTCCTGTGCCCGAGAGGAAGAGTTGGCAGTGGGTGAGAACCAACTGAGCTGAACTGCAGGGAAGGGGCAGAGGGGTGTGAGCCCCCCAGTGGGCACGGTTCCCCTCACACTGCTCCTACCACAGAGCCCCCTGCAGCTCCAACAAGAGCCCCCAGGAGCCCCGATTCCCTCTCATTTCCTAGTTTTTGTGAAAGCCCCAACACCCTGTGCCCCCCTCCCCGTTTTTTCAATCTAACTAAAATATTTATATACAAACAAACAAAAAAAAAAATAGTCACAACAGCAACAAACCAAACTTTGGCTTGGAAAAAAAAAAATTAAAAACCAACAATAAAACCAGGAAAACAAAACAAAACAAAACAAAACAAAACAGCAAAAGGTGGCCAACAGGCTGGCAGTTTGGTGTCCCCTTTTTCTAGCTATTCCTCCAGAGAATCAATAGCTTCAGGGTCTCTAGCTTAACCAACGGCCTCCCCATTCTTCCCCTCTGCTGCACCCAGAGAGGCTGCGTTTCACTGGGGGAGAGCAAAGAATGCATGGCTGTGCATGGCTGGGCCAGGACACCTTCCCAGGAGCCCAGCTTGTAGACATTGCTTAGTGTTAAATGCAGGAGGTTTCCTATTCTGCTATCAGCAGTGGGTGGAGAAGCAAGGGTATGGCAGGAGTAGGAGAGAGTCCACCAACAAACCCATGCTCCAAGAAGTCCTTCCAAGAAGCAAGAGTTGAGGCAGCTCAGTGAAACCACGCTTCTCTAACCCAGCTTAGGGATGGTGTAAAAGCACTTCCCTCTGAGCACCGGGGCTGCTGGGAACCTAGGATGGAGGTCAGCCAAGAACGCCAACCTCGTGGTCCAGCCAAATCGCTGCTGGGGAGAGAAGGGAGACAGTGCTGGGGGAGTCACAGAGCTGTACCCCGAGCGGGCTCTCCGCTTCCAAATCTTGTCTTATGTAGTGTCGTTATGGACCCAGCAGCCCAGGTGTGCAACTTTCTATGGGAGGCTAGGCAGAACGGACCCAGGGCTCCAATGTGACTGAAAGGGCCTTGGATACATAGCTTGTGGTGGGAAGTTCCTATGAATTCAGAGCTTGTACAAACTGCTTCTGCCTCCTCCCAAACTCCTGACCGAAACAAAACCAGGATCACGTTTGAACATAAAGGACGCTCTTCCCCCAGACAAACCCACGTGCATATGCCCCTCACCTCAGCAGCTTATACACTGACTTGCTTTTCCTCATTCACGTTACTTGAAACTGATTGCTCGCTGCAGTGTCTAAGCAGCTCAGGATGAGCAGAAGGAGAGACCTCGCCGGCTGGATGTCAGCACTGATGCACGCTTCTTCAGCCACAGCTTTCTTCATCGTCACGGCTGCACTCAGCTGGAACCGCTTGCTGTCCGCAGCAGAGGTTCTGTGTGATGCTGCACTGCTTCAGCCGCTCCTCGAGGAAGAGAGGGAGCAAAGGGACAGCAAGGGAGAAGGGTCTCGAAAAGGAGGATGGAAAACTAAGAGAGTTACAGCCACCAGCAATGGACAACGATCAGCTAGAGTAAGTTGTGTGTGCGGGAGGGAAGGATCCTCCTGCTCAAAAACTCCTTCCAAAGTCTTGTCCCCTGTGCAGCGGTAACAGCCAAAGTCTTTGGGCAGGTTGAGGAAATCTTCTCTCGCCGAGTCTAAAATTCTGACACTGCTGCAACTGTCCCAAACCCGTGCGCGTCGTCGGGTGCTGATTAAAAAAAAAAAAGAGGAGGGAAGTCTCCGCATTTCCCCCTTCTCCATATGCAAAATCTCCCACCAGCAGTAAGGTCCCAGCCACAGCCAAAGAGCGCTTCCTTCTGCAGAGCAGAAACACGGCAGGTGGAGACTTCTCCCTCACGTCCTCCCGCCTCCTGGGCACTGAGCACCAGTCCCAGGGCAGTAACTCTGCCTGCGTGTTCCTGATTAATAGCAGTTTCTAACAGCTTTCCTTATCGCTAATCGCCTTTTCCGTGATTGGTAGGATAAGCTATGCACCAACATACACACACGGAAATGCATTATCTTTTTTTTTCTTTTTTTTTTCTTTTTTTTTTTTTTTTACCACAGTTAAAATTAAAAAAACAAAACAAAACAAAAAAAAAACAGAACAAAAAAAAAAAAAAAAAAAGCAACCAAACAAAAAAATCCGGAAAAAAAAAAAAAAAAGAAAAAAAAAAAGCACAATCTTTGGAACAAAAGAATTAAAGGCAGAAATTTAAAGGAAAAAAAAAATACATATTCAAAGAACATAGTGAGGTATAAAAAAGTATTCTCTTTTGTTTTTGTTTTTCCTCCTCGTCTTGCTATAGAGTTCCTCTACTAGTAAATATTGCAATAGCCAGGCCTCATGAACTGGGGGGGCTGTCCCACTTGCAGGGGGCTCACGTCACTTCAGTAGGGGGCAAATCGGCTGTAGCCACCTCGGTATAAACTCGCCTGTAGAAATCAAATGAGAAAAGAAGAGGCTGTTAGGAGGGCAAACCATGCCTGGAGGCGCTCAGGGCTAGCGGACGTGTCCTGGCACTGACCTGCCACCATCTAAGAGACAAAAGATCACCTCGCCTGCTAAAGCAAGCAGTAGCTCAGGGGCCAGGCTCACAGGCAGCCAGCTGGAGGGGAAGTCTGGCAAGTCCCAGGCACACAGACCTCAGTACGAGAGGGACTCATGAGTCCTACTTTCTAAGCCAGTTGTCTAGGCTGATGTTTCAGATAGCAGAAGTGCACTTCTAGGATCCTCTTCATCTCAGCTTAATGTACAGGTCTGACAGAGGCACGATGACCTGCTATCCTAGAAGAACCTCTGTTTCCTCCATTGACTCTAAAAGGAATCCACATGATGAGCTGCGGCTCAAACAGAGGAGCTACACTGCAGACATCTATATTTAGGTGCACTTTTTCTCCGCACACATTTGCATTCCAGCCTTTGCAGCAACACAGATACTGCACTGGCTAGAAGCAGATGGGCAGGCATGTGTTCTCAGCAAGCTGTGCCACTCCCATGCGATGCCAGCATACCTCATTCCTGCCCTTGCATAACTGCCGCTGGCAGGCAGGACACCGCATGCTTCTGCTAGCAGAAGAGGGAACCGAGTGCAGCTCTGCTGCAAGATGTCACAAGAAAAACTTATTCCCTTACTCTACCTCGCACTGATCTCTCAATATGCAATAGAGCCCTTAAAGCTAATGAAAAAGGTAAGGAAGAACGTCGTGCATCTTCAGCCACTGCCGACTCTTGCTCTGTCTACCTCCTTGATACAGATGTACCAATGCACCTACAACGCTCTGGTTCCCGATGTTTCTGGTGATCCTCCCACCACCTCCTTCGCACAAGATGTACAACACTGAGTGATAACTGCTCTCCTAAACCTGGCTCCTTTCCTAGCGCACACATGCAGATATACGAATGCACAACTAGGAAGGAGCTGGCACTGCAGCTAGGGACCTCCTCCCTCAATGAAGAAATCTTTCTGGATGAAGTTCCAGTACCCGACACACAGTGAGCAGCTGTTCCCCGTGCCGGGGTTGAGAAACAGCACAAGAAAGAAAATTGCACTTACCACAGCGCCAACTCCGTAGCTAGCGGCAGGGGCAAGGGCATGGTAAGGATCTGCTGTGTACACCCTGCCATAACTGAAGAGAGGGAGAAAACATACAAAAAAAAAAGAGAAAGAGAGTCACTTTGGGGGGGCAGAGAAACAGCTGTCTGACCACAGGCAATGGAAGAAGCAGCATGCCCTTCTACACACATGTATGCATACATGCACACACATGCACATGGGCTGCCCCTCTTGGAAGAGAGCCTACGGGCATGCCGCCATGCACGGTATGAGATGGGCGAGAGACGGGCCTGCGAGGAGGGACGTGGCAGCACCAGGAGCTCAACCTGTAGGAAAGAGGTCAGCACCTCGCACGTGGCAACTACTGCAGCCCTCGCCTCGAGTGATGTGGTGGGGGAGGAGGGGGAGCCCCCAGTGCCGGCGCTACTGGCACAGTACCAGCTGCTACACGGAAAGTACTGCGGGTTCTCCAGAACAGAAGGGAGCACGAACTTCAATGCTCTCACGTGTGCGAAGATTAAAACACAGCCTCACTGCACAGGAGATGAAAAATCTTATGGTGAGCACTCTGATGATGATCATCCTTTCCATTTACACGGAGCTGCATGTTAAAGCACCCTATGCCATATGAGCTGAGAAATTCTTAAGTTCTGGATGGGGAGAGAAATGCACGCAGTGATGGAGCAACCTGCTCAGAGTCAGAGAGCAAGGAGCCTGCAACGCCAACCAGGCCTTTCAACCTTGAGCCATGACCACACCTCCTCCTTTGCACAAGGAGTCCCCAGGCTAAGGAAGGGGCCAGGATTTGCGCCGGCTCGCACACGCCGGAGGGCAATGCTGCCTGGGAGCAGAGACAAGTCGTGCACTCATCCTTCACGCTGGGCAGTGCATGCATGTGTGCGAGTGCAAGTAAGACAAAGAAATGGGGAAAGAAGTAGAGAAGAACTGTAATGGATCACAGCTCCTCAGATCTCTGAGCACAGCAAGCCAGCCCCGTGGTTGCCTGCCCCTTACATACCCATCGCTGTAAGCTGCTGCAGCGGCTGCAGCGGCCGTGGCTGCTGTTGCAGTAGCAGGCTGTGCATATCTGTAGGCTGCGTATCCACCCTGCAGGAGAGAAGAGAACTGACTTTACAGATACCTGTCCACCCACGTAGAGAAAAATAAAAATGAAAAAGGAATCACACATCACAAGGAGAGGAAGTGTTTCAAACTGCATCAGCTCCCATGTCACGTGTATTACGAGCATCGCACATTGGCACGTGCGTCTTCCTTTGCTCAGAAGGACTACGAACACTCTTCCATTGCCCCGTTTAGCAGAAGGAATAAATTAAAGCAAGCTTGAGCATGGTGATATCCCAGTAGGAAACTAAATTTGGCATGTGGAAACAGAAATCCAGAAGAGAGCTGAAATACTGCATGCAACATAATTTCTATGTCCCCTTCCTCCTACACTGGGGAAATCAGAGGTGGGCACCTTCCATGAAGGATGTATTTTAGAAAGGACATAATTCAGACAAACTCCTGCTTTTTTCCCCCTTGTTTTGTCTTTTTTTTTTTTTTTTTAAAGCCTGGGAGACCCAAAGGATAGATTTTCTTTTGGTTCAGATGCATAAAAGCATCAATAGCCAGGAAAGCCAAAAAGCAACCAGGAAATGATGGTCAGGGAGATACATTTCTGGTGGCCTCAGGGGTACCAACAAGCAAACCAGCACAGATACCCCTCCCTTAAAGTAAGAAGGAAACGGGTTGGCAGAAATCATGTCTGAACAGTCTGTACTGCTGCTGCATTTCTATCTATGCTACACATCTGTATTAAAGATCTTTAAAATGGTTACACTCAGAAGGGGCAGTTCCTGAAAATATAGCTCCAGCTGAGTAGGTAAAACAAGAATCCTGACCCAGAGGGAGACCTGGGAGTGTCCTGCTGGAATTCACACCAGAAGTTCTCAGGGCAGAGGAAGCCCAGGCCCAGACCCATGGCTCTACTCATCTTGCAACAATGAGGGATGGACCCCAGCCACCTTTTAGACCAGGGGACAAGGGCTGCACGTGGCAGTCAGGACGAAGCTCTGAAGCCAAGGTCAGATCTTTCTTGATTCTACATGTTTTTGTTAACTTGGGGGAGAAGGGGGAGGTGCAATGGTAAATGAACCATGGGTTTGATTTGCCAGAAACACAACGAGCCGTAAATAACACCGGAAAACTCCAGATTGCCTGGGGCTTTTTCCTTTTTCTTTTTAACTGACATTTCAGAGTTTGAAGGACCAGAAGGCAGAGTTATGCTCTTCACCTCCAGCACTGGCTCAAAATATCACTACCACTTTTTCCCTGTAAATCTTACGGTTGCATGCAACTAGGAGCACAACACATGCTCTAGCATAGGAGTTGGTTTTATGGAGTGCTGGTGATAGGTTGATGGTTCGACTTGATCTTAGAGGTCTTCACCTGTAATGATTTTATATCATATACAGGGGTAGATAGTGAAAGAACAAGAGGGAATGGTTTTAAACTAAAAGAGAGGACATTTAAACTAGATGTCAGGGAGAAGGTTTTGTTTATTTGTTTTATTAACAGTGGTGAGGTGCTGGAACAGACTGCCCAGAGAGGTTGTGGATGCACCATCCCCAGAGGCACTCAAGGCCAGGTTAAATGGGACCATGGGCACCCTGGTCTAGTACTTGATCCATTAGTTGACAACCCCGTCTGTGGCAGGGGGGTTGGAACTTAACGTCCCTTCCATCCTATGTCATTCTATGATTTCCATGATTTTATGATTTATCTTTGCTCAGCAGCTCTCAGTTTTGGACCAGATAGCTTTTAAAATAGAGGCCATGACTTCAACTTCATTTTGGTTGCCCCTGCAGAAGGGCTATCCAAAACATGCCTAGAGGTGGTTTCCTACTCTGGAGGAGAGGGACTTGCTAGACCTTCAGTCTTCTAGTTAACAGAAGAGAGTAACATGAATCTTTAAGAGTGAATTCAATCACCAGGTTGCTCTTAACAAGTCGTTTCAATCTGTGCATTTCAGATTGATGGTCTGGGGAGATCTGGCTTATTTCTGGTGTGCTAGCATCACACCACTATTGCCCTCAGCTCTAAAAAGCGAGGGAGACGAGACAAACAAAAGGCAATCCGAATGAAACCTTGACTGACCTCACCAAATTAGGACCTGCTGGTGTTTCCCTAAGCTTCCAACCTCAGTGAACTCTTGGTGCAGTCTATCACTTGGGCATGGCACAGAAGCAGAATTTTCCTAGCACTGCCCCCTTCTCCCTCTCACCCATCAGCCACGTGTCACATCGGAAGCCATTTCGAATGTGACCGGCACACGCCCCACACATGAGAGCAAGATGCAGTTTGAAACCTAGCAAGGGTTATCAAGTAATTCTCTTATAACTCATATCTCTCGTAAAGGGAAATGAAACCAAACCAAACCAAAACAAGAAAGAAGAAAAGAAGGGTTGGAATCAGGTGTGGGAAGGGGGGGGAGGGGATGGCGTAACATTTATTAATCAAAATTAAAAACTAAGCATGCTGACATCTGGAGCTAGAACAACCAGCAAAGTCACCACGTTCAGACTCATATTGGCTAGTTCTATCCATCCCAGCATTCTCTTGGGACAGCAGTTCGCCCTAGGCTCTACCACAAGCTCAGTGAAGTACACAGCCTCAAGTACTAGAGCGTGCAGCCACAACAACCTGCTATTACGGAAACAGTCAGTCACCACTGGAGTTAACATTCCAACCTCAACAACTCCCGCAGCCTCCCGCCCTCCCCCCCGAAATGGCTCCCACCCATGCCCTGTCCCACACCACAATGTTAATAATTATAACAAGCAATAACCCATCTGTTATATCAGAGAAGGGAACAGAGACTCCACTGAGAGATTTAGAGCGGGATGTTAACATTTCTTCAGTCAACTGCACAACAAACAAACAAAAAAAAAAAAACAAAAACAAAAAAACACAGGAGAAATAATTCATTGGAGAAATGAAGTTAAGGAATAGCTGACGTGTATTGCTTTTTAACCATGCACTGATGCAAAATTGAAGCTACTGTTAATTTCAAAAAAATAAATAAAGTCACAGGATACAGGTACACACACACAGGCAGACCTGCCTGGCTCAAAGCAGTCTGCAAATTCTACTTGTGTGTACTCCAAATAAAACCAAAAATGGGGATTATAATGGCCATGGTACGGTCCTGTCGTAGGAGCAATGAGTGCGGACAGCCGAAGGATTTCTGACAAGGGGATGTATTTAGCATGACCAGCAGGTCCAAATACACCAAAACAGGCTGAAGGAAAGAGGAGAAAGTCGCAGCTATTACTCCTTTTGGTTTCATCAACACTTTTGTCAAGCTCCGGGAGCGGTACAGAGCGAAGGAGACGCTGTGCGGGTTGCCTGACCCAGCTGAGGCTCCCGTTCTCTGTAACCCAGGACCCACCTGTAATTCCCTCAATGCATCTGAAGCCCTACTCAGCTTGTCCAATGCACCAGTTTTCCTCCTGCCATTTCTGTTCACAGACAACTTTAACTAGTGTGCAAAGCTAGCTCGTAACCTCAGCTACAAGGTCCTACCACTCCTAGTGATTCCTGATGCCACTCACTTCAGGTAGTATAGCAAGTAAAAACTGTACCTATGTAGAGCATCCTCAACAAACGTGAGCAATCATGTTTACCAATGACATAAATAGTAACTTCAAAAAGGCCCTTGCCAGTTGCACCACACTCCTCCAGACTGCAACAGAAGACACCGTTCAGTGCCATGATCCCTGAAACCCAGGACAGCCATGCAAATTTCCACTCCATCTATTTATGTGAAGTGGTTTACCCATGTAGGTGCAGTGTTTAAAATCATTAGCCTTGTCTCAAAGGAAATGAGCGTGCCTGAGCTTCTTGTGAAAGATGCTAGGTCGGAGATGTATCTGTGGGACAGTCCAAGGGCAGCCTCAGCTTATGCATCTTTACTGGGCAATGATTAACAATCAAAAAGACTGTCTAAACCAAGACCAGTTCTTTCTGGTATAATCTTTCGGATTGTCTGGAGAGCATGTGAGATAAATTCACACAATTTTCAATGCCGCTTATTTTAACTCAAGTTCTCTTTCTCTTGTTATACTGCCAGCGTTGCTGGGGGCTATGCTGGACCCCCTTTCTCGTAAGAATGTGTAGAGAGCCCGAGTCTATAGATCCCAATTGGCAAACAACTGGATTCGTCCAGGTGTTCACAAAAGCCCGTATTTCAAATGACTCTTATGTCATGCTTTTATTTAAGCCAAAAAAAAAAAAAAACCAACTTTTTTTTTATCCCTTCTTAGCATTAGATGACAGCTTTTTCAATATTGTGTTATTTCAGGGAATGAGACAAACTTGGCAAAACAACATAGATAGGAAACTGCAATCCCAGCTAGAGCAGCGTTCCAATTACAGAACATATTAACGTAGATAAATGAGCATGTTAAAACTATATATTTCAGCTCAAAAGAAGTCCCATCTTCTCCTCTGCTCTTCGGGCACACATTAGGTGTTCAATGCAATGGGAACATCATTGCAATGGGAATATGAGGAAATCCAAACCTACGGCTTACTATGCCAGCATATTCTATGGTTATAAGCTTCCCTTTTCTTCGTCCCTTGCTGCCTTAGGCACACAGAGTGTGGCTGGGCACTTTTTATGCCACTAAGAAACATTTAACTCACGTACCTGTTAGACACATTTGACCACCTGCTAGGTTTAGACTGAAAGCCCTGTTTAGGGATCTTTAATTTGCTGAAGCACGATCGTGTCTTCCACCCCAAAACTGCCCTAGAGCAGAAGTCAGAAGCAGAATGGGCTAGAACTGTTTCCAGCATTTCTGTATTAGAAGGGTGGCATACATGCACCAGGAATGAGCATGAATGAATTAAAAGAGGTGACAGGACAACAGTGTCCATTGCAGCCAGCAGGTGCTTCTACATGGTAATGGGACAAGCATGACCTTGTTAACTCTTCCACTGAATTGACATAAATACATTTTTTGAATGAAATGCCACTCGGTGTGAAATCTGGACACATGCCACCCTGCTACAGCGGGGGCTTGGCTCACACGGGAGTCTGCACTGCCCTAAAAAAGCCTCTGTTCCCATCTCTAATGTGGTGCTGGAATGGTTAGTATAATTCAGTTTTTTCCACTGCAATCCACAATCTGATTGGTTGGCAGGTCACACTGGCACTCCTACCTGAGGTATTTTAGCGCTAATGATTGGTTCCTGTAAGACTATTCTATAACAGAACACAGGAAGAGCAGTTCAAAAAAACACAGCTGTGGAAAGAAACAATCATACAAACAGCCCGCAGTGGGGCTCACCAGCCTTTTCTTTCCAGTGGATGCAAGCACGCTTTTCACAGGCAGGAGTGGTCTTTGCAACGTGGGGTGGTTTGTGTTTGTTTTGTTTTCCTCTTCCCCTCCACCCCAAATTAACCCCATTGAAAAATAACCTTCCTTAGGATCTGAAATGAAGCCCTCTGCATCCTGGGGCTGGTTGGTTTATGAATTCAGGTGTCTTGCCAGAGTGGGACGCATCCAACAAGAGATGGAGTGCCCTCATCAGAGAAGACATGGCTAGCAGGCTGGTTGCCCCAGGAGAGAAAGAAGGAGTGAGGAAGAGGAGGAGGAGGAAAATGAGAAGTTGGTATACAGCACTTATGTGGAAAGAACAGCCCAAGTTTGGGACACTTCCCCTTTGTCTCACCTACTGCTAACCCCTCCTTCCTACCTAGCTCAGAGTCTCTGCCACCTTGCCTTGACTCAGAAGGGAGCCTCAGTTCATTTTTCCCTCTAATCCAACCAGAAAGGACTAAGCCTCATCAAAGGACCCTCTGCTTTCCCTTCTGTGATCTGCACAATCCTTTCATGGCAACCAGAAAGATGTAAGCACTGCAGGGAATAGCACTGTCCAGCAACGAGGCACAGGTATGCTGCATCCCTTCTGCATGTGCCAATTAGCAATCTGCCTGGAACAGCAACTTTGTATTAGGACAGCTTTTTCTCCTGAGCTCTGTTATAGGGTGCTGGGCAGCAGTAATACAGGATAACAGACCATCATCTCCCTTGATGAGCGTCCCATTCTGCTGTCCTGCTTTCTCACAGTGAGGCCTGAGCAACTGAAAGCAAAATCACCAGAAGTTCACCTCCCACTTTTATCCTGATCTGGAGACTACATGATGCTACTGCACTGCAGCACCAAGCGATGATGGGTATTCTTCACTGCTGAAGTCACCATCCCTAATATGTGCTTGATAAGAACCTCTCCCACACGTGTAATGGAAGCTCTAAAGGAGGCTTCTGGAAAATAAATGGGGAGTAACCTTGACCAGTCTTCCCTTTCAACATGACAACCTCTTACACATACTTTGAGGGAAGAGGCACTAAGCAGAAGGTATTGCTCTTATTTTGCCTGCTGTAGCAAAGCCAGTGGTCTGTAAAGCTGACATTTTAAGACTGAGGTGAGAAAACCCAGAACTCTTGTATCAGTGACTACCATCTTACAAAGTAATGCCTGACTAGGCAGATCAATTTTTAGAGGGATGTGCACATACTGCTATACGTAAGCATGAAGAAGCACACCCAAAATCTCTGTGCTTAGAGAGCATGTCTTCTGACTGCTGTAACTGTGTTGGGAGAAGTGCCCCTATAGGACCTGACTCTCCATATAAGCCAACAAAATCCAAAAGCTAATTCCATCCATTATCTTCAGTCTAGCCCCGAGGGTCCTCTTCACAAATGTCAGGAGTAGCATCTTCAAAGGAGCAGGGACATGAAATCCATGCTGACAGTCATGCCACTACCAATACAAAGCTTCCCCAGCTCTGAAGAACTATTACCTATAAATGCTGCACAAGAGAACTTTGCCAGAGCTAGACAAGGCCACAAGTAGTGATGGCAGCAGCAGGCCTAAACGTTTTGGCTTTGAAAGGCATACTCCTATCAGAACTGTTCTACAACAGCTCTCCACTCGAGAGCAAATGGCTTTTCTTGCTGGCCAGAGTCCTCAGACCCACAATGGCCACAACCCAGCTGCTTATAGAGATACTTCAGAGATGTGTTATACCAGCTGGCTGGGTAGGATAAAGACAACTACAGGGCAATGTCTCCTGTGGTACCAGAGCTAACAGCCGAACAGGAGTAGGCTGCTGGCTTTTCTAACCGAACATCTCCACATATTTGTACTTTACAACTCCCCAAAGAGGTAAGAGAATCTAGCCTATTTAGGTACCACTTTGACTAGCAAACTGAGGTGTCAGTTTTCACTCTAGCATCTCAGCCTCCATTTTTAATCAGCCCCAGTGTCTTCCCCGAAGGGATAAGTTCCACATCCCAGTGGCACACAAACATTTTTAAACATCCAGTCAGCTCCGTTTAGTGTGGGCTGCACAAATCAAACCTGAAAGGGTCCCAAGAGAGGAAAGAAAGGGGAGGGTGGAGGGGGAGAAGGAAAAGGGAAGGTCTGAGGCTAAACCAGTCCTGTTATTTTTATATCCAAATTATGTAAATGAGAGAAGTGTTGAGAGAAATTTTAATTCGCTAATCATCTCTCAGGTTGATTAGTAGCAGTGTGCATGTGAGGGAGAGGACACCCAGTAAACTGACCCTGGCAATGATCAGGAAACCCAAAGGCTTAGGTCTTGCACCCAGGGGCAAGCGCAGTGACAGAGAAGCATGCTTGCATTCCTAAATATATAAATATATATCCACAAGGAAGAAGAAAATTAAAGTAAATGATACTTTAAAAAAATCAAACAAACAAACCAAATCAAACAAACAAACCAAAAAAAAACCAAAAAAAAAACAAAAAAAAAAAAAAAAAAAGGCTGGCTTGTCAGGGGTTGGGGATGAGAAGGCTCCGGTGTGTGTACTTACATAGAGGTCAGCACCGTAAAATCCGTCCTGGTAAACCACACTGCAGAAAATCCACACAAAAACAAAAAAACAAAAAACAAAAAACAAAAGAACAGAAAACACATTCCGGTTATTGAGGACGGCAGCATGCACATGCGTTTTACACAGGCAGGTGATGTATGAATCCATAACCTGGGCTTTTGGCAGGAGCGAATCAGCGAGAGAATGTGTGCACACGCACGCTAGACGGCTCCAAGTCATCTTCCATGGCATGCAAAGGGGAAAGGGGCGGGCAGAGGGGGAGACAGTATGCAAAGGAGAGAGGGAGGGGAACAACCATCTTGTACAATAAAAATAGACCCAAAAAGATCTGATGTCCTGAAGAAGAGAAACAAGGGTTTAGAAACCTCCGCTCTGGTTATTCTCCTGGAATTGTTTAAGTTACCCCCCTACACACACGGGAACATTGGCTTCATGATGTGGGCTTGGAAATGGAGAGGCCCCTCAGAAGGTATCCCACGGGGGCTGAAATCACCTATGTCAGAAGCATGTTTCAGAGAGCTGTGTACAATTACGTATTTCGAGCTTCACAGGGCTGCTTGGCTTTGTTTCTGACATCCATACATCACCTGCTTTTACCCTGCACATTAGACATGCGATAAGATTTGGCTGATCACACAAGCATGCAAAGTATTATTATTCAGCATCTTAAAGAACCAATGCAACACCTCAGGAAAACAAGTCAATCAATTCTGATCAAAGTAAACACAGAGAAATGTAATTAAAAAAGAAAAAACCAAAAATACCCACAATGCATTGCTTTCACAAGCAGAGATAATGAGCTAAAAAGGTTAGGTGACTGGTCCAAGGTCCGAGAATTGAAAGGTGCAGTGGGAGTCCCTGGTAGTAATGACATGTTCCATAGCAGAGAGGAGCATCTGGAAGGGTTTCCATGGGATGATACTTTTTCTGTTTTAAGCCATCGATTTCTTTCTCTCAGAACTTCAAGCAGGTCAAATCGTTAAACTGGAGCCTGGGGTTCCCAAAGAACCACTCTTGCCAGAGCATTCGCTAGCGTAGGACTACGCAGCTTGCTTCGGGGACAGGGGTTGGGGAAGGATAAGGAAGGAAGAGAGGGTATGCCCCCCACCCGTGTGCGTTCAGCCTGTCCTTCGTGGAATCTCCTCTTGCTTTGGCCTCCGAATAGCTCTGCACCTCAAAGCTTTAAAAAGCATTAGAGCCCCAGCATGTGATATTCATGGACCTAATGCGCATGACTTACCCATAGCATTAAGGAAGAACCAGGCATGGAACGCCAGCTTTTCTATTATTACTTTTTTTTTTTTTTACTGTGAAATTCTGCCAAGAGCCTGCCACCCTCAGACACCCACCTACTGTAAGGCACGCACACACAAAAAAGCCCAGCACATCTTGCCAAAATTCTGCATGCTATTACTAAAAATAAAAATAAGTAAATTAAAAATCTGTCGCAGTGTTAGCTACTGCTTGAATAATTTAGTCTTGCTGTCTTCCCCAGGAAAAGTACACTGCATTCCCAGCAGACAGAATTACTACGGTCTCCAAGAGGGCTGGGAGCAGATACAAAGATAGAGACCCTTGTTAGAGGAAGAGGGGAGCCACTTCAGCAGAGAGAAGCAGGCCATAAGATCACGTTTGTTGAAGCCAATTTTTTTTTTTCTTTGCAATCACATAACAAAGAATTGGGCTCCTGGGGCAGCGACTTACATTGCTGGGTTCTCTATCTAGGATCAGGAGTGTTTTAGCAGTGATACTCCACCTGCTCCTGCAGGAAAGGCAAACGCATGACAGAGGAAGTGACTGTTGGTTTATGAACACATTAGCAGTTTCAACAGTTATTCCAAACACAATCAGTTGGATTAATTAAGAGCATTACCACATTGGATCAGGGCACTGTTCATGTAACTCAGTATCCTGTCAGCAAGAGATGCTAGCACCAGCTCTCCAGAGAAAACTGCAAAAAACGCTATACCAAGTAAGAGCAAGGCTTCCCAAGCCCAAGCAACAGAGCACACGTGCATCCTGTCTTAAGTGAGGACCTGACACCAACTGATAGGGCTGAAATTTAGCAGGGTTTATATACATACTAAAATAGCCATATTTGTGATTCTCAATGCTAGCGAAAACTCCACTTGAGAACCACAGAGGCCATTCTGGTTATGCAGACTGACCAGGAGCATAAAACAGCCCCATCGTATCTCAGTGGCATCCGTGAAAAGCCCGCTAGCTGAGCTAAAACACATCCACAAGAGCAAGACATACGCAAACTGAGCTGTACCAACAGATGACTATGTTGTAAAAGGAACCCAAACCAACCAAAACAAAACAAAGAAATCCCACGAAGATCCCCACTGCCTTATGTCTAGTCTGACTTTTATCTACTTTTGGTTCTGAGTGGGAGAATCTTCTATACATTTATGCTTCTAAACTAAATTATACTTCACCATGACAAGCCCACTCTTTGTATCTGTACTCAACGACCATGAACAAGCCAATGCCTAAACCTGCAGTTTGTGAAATAAAATTGATCACACTTGTTTCATTTTGAGAATTTTAGAGTAGCCAAGGGGGTTTCTTCAGGCTTTGATTTAATTCTTGCAGTTCTTGGTCTGAAGTGCAATTTGTCAGCTTTCATTTAGAAAGCATGGCCACTGCAAGTGGGGGCAATACTCCAGCACTGGCTCAAGTCACGCTACAGACCAGAGGTTACTGTGTCTCCACACTTGTAGTGAATGCCTCAGTTATACCTTGAGGGGTGCACTGGTGCTCTGAGGTCAGGCTCAGGTGACTATCCACCAGCTTCTTCACTGCTCTGAGCCACTGCTTTCTATCACACGAATAACCCTTCCTAAATAAACGTTCAGGGCTGCACGTATGTTTAAGTGCCTTTTACATATGCATTAGTAGATCTGCGCTTCGGATCGAGCTTGAGATCTTGAAATTTATTCATTTAAGAACTATCTGATTTCTTGCACTTTCCTCTGGAGAATCTAGCACTACAGACACAGTCAAAATTACAGTAACCTGAACAGTGCTCAGGTCTGATCCAGTATAGCAATTCCAACAAGCTTGTATTATTCTACAATTTATTTATTTTTTTTTTATAATGCTGCTGAGCTCACACATTCAGTGATACCATTAGGTTTTACAGCAACTTAAACACCACTAGGTTTTGTGAAAAGTCAGTTCCCTCTACCATATTTGAATAAACCCACAGCTCACTTTACTGCCTTCTTCCACAAGACTCACTATGTTTCCATCATTCTTGTGCTGCTGATTGACCTTCTGGCATCTGCCCTGACTCTGTGGGGGTTAGCAGTGCCCACACCTGTGGCTGTCCTATAGGTTAATGCAACATGGATCTGAACAGCACAATATACATTATTCCGTAAAGAATCAAATTCCCTCTACAAAATATTAAGTAGAGGTTCAGCCTATAACAACAATAAACACCAGAATCAGTTAATTACATCCCAGTGCTTGGGAGGAGGGGAAGTTCTAGGCCACTTCTGAAGGCAACTCATGTACTGCTATCCTGCAAATGTTCACTGGATAGAACGCTGCCCATGAAGACACGAAATTGGCCAGCAGGGTCAAACAAACCCAACATAATGTAAATAAATGCAGTCACAAGACAGTATTTGGAAAGAATAAGCACTGGAGCCTGGCCCATATTCCAAATTGAATACATGCTTCACAGGGGACTCAAGCTGGATTTATATGGAAGACAGACCTTGAGTCTCTCCTGGTGACAGCCTCTTGCCAGGAACGCTCCAGCCGTTACTCCCAGGGATGAAGCATACGACCTCCCCAGTGCAGGTACTTTGCATTCTCCTAGATGGTACCTCAACTTTCCTTCTCTGTTTTGCTGTGAAGCACCTCCAAATTTAGCAGGGCTGGGTCATTCTCAGAGCAACAGACTGACAAGTTGCAGGTCAGAGGCTTAAGTTAGAGGATGTCACATATGAATTAAAGGAGGTGGCAAAAAGATGGATCTAAGAGCTCAAAAGACCACTCCATTCAAACGCCTAAATGTTCTGAGGAGGTTTCAATTAAAGTGTTTGGGTAAATTAAATACAAACATTGCTAGATTTGTCTGAGAGCAAAGCTTAGACCACTGCACCTTGCTTCCTTCAGCTCCACTTTAAATATCAGACAGGACACCAATAAGGAAGGGCCACAGAAGCTCTCTCCACTTCGTCTGCTACAGATCATAATACAAGCTTATCTGTATCAGGCCAGCTCCTTTTGTTAATGTGTGTAGCTTCCTCCCCCCTTCTAATAAAAAGATTTATAGCTTAATTTCTTCCCTTTTGAAGCTAGTCTGAGAGGGGGGGAAAAAAAAAAAAAAAGATCAGCCCATTCTCTGTGTTGAAGGATTTGCTCCTATTCCTTTCTGAGAGACCTATCTGAAAATATGGCCAATAAAATTCTAGAGAGACAATATGAACAAAGCATCCTCAAAATCAGAACCAATAAAAGGACTCGGAACTCAGAAGGGATCCGTGATCTCTGTCTTTCCATCACACTTAACCAACCAACCAAAAAAAAAACGAAACAAAACACACACATACCAAACCGGTTCTTTCTGCTTCTGAACAGCAGAATGTTGTTTTGTAACAGAATCTCTTCCACTGCATTGCTAGTGTGAAGTCAGAGGACAGAGAAGCGTGCTGAGGCTGCGAATTCAGCAACGCTTCATACAACAGTTAGAAGAACGCAGCACTTTCGTTCTCAGTGTATCCCAAACTCTCCCAACTTCCAATTAATGGACTTGATTAATCTTTGTTTTAAACCTTTTTAAACCGTCTCCAACAAAGAAAGCAAATCCATTGTGGGTAGCTGGCTCTTCTTTGTCCTACTGCCAGATGGTGAGGCATGAAGGTAAGAGATAATATTCCCCATTCCTGGGCAAGAAAACCACAAAAGGAGTGCAGAGAGTTGGAACTTTTTGGGACATCTTAGACCCGTCTTTTTGTCCTTCTCAGTAGTGGTGCAATGTATTGAATCGATGGATGACAAATACCAGAAGATAAATCGAGAAATTCTGAGAAGGAGTACATCAGCACTTTAGGCTGCTGCAAGTACTGAAAATTCTCTCAGGCAAGAACTTAATATGGCAAAATTTAGGACTGCCCCCATTGGATGCCATCGAATGCAGAACACTCTGGCGCTAAGCAAATACCCTGACTCTCACCATCCAGACAATTTTAGTTACGTTTTTGTTAGCCAACCCATTATTTGACACGGTTGTGCAGAGCACTCTGCTCTTGTGACCAGTGCTTACCCTGGGTAGGCAGGGATGGCTGTAGGAGGTACTGCCCGGACTGCCCCATAAACCGTCCTTCCTCGGCCCCTCAGGTGGGCTCCCCGAAACGCGGCTGCTGTGGTGGCTGCAGTTGGATAGGGGAAGCCTGGAACTGTAAAGACAGACAAGGGAGAAGGTGAAAAGGATCCCAGCTCCTGCCCAGGGAACAACCGCCTGCTTCAAACAAAGTGACACAAGAGCTCCGCAGCGGTGGGATGTTTTGCATCAATCCTGCGGAGGGGCATGCTTCTAACCCAGCAAGCATCGTATACATACGTCCTGCTACACCATGGCCTTTCGGGGAGGAGGGGTTGCAGAGAGGTTTGGCATGCAAGAGGTTAATGCATTGGCATGCCTCACCCACCACAAACAGGGTCCAAATCCCCCCCTCTGACACCGCCATGCAGTCTGGTTAGAGTCCGAGAAGCGCAGAGAGTTACTATCAATATAGCAGGCGGCTCTTCCAAAACTGCAGAGGCTCTTTAAAATAATTTGTCAAGAGGCCCTTAAAGTCAATCAACTTACATCAGTCTCTTCCCTCCTTTCCCCTCCCACTCTTTGCCACCCAATCCTCTGTATGTTCATTTTAAAGCCTGAAAGACAAGATAGCCCATATAACAGCAGCAGAAACTTCCCATAAAGTGCCAGCTTACTGAGAGCCCCTCTTCATTTAATTTCATTACACTCGATGCTGGCTCACCATGGAATGACGTGAAGCCCTAGAGGCATCTGCAGACACGTCATGAGTACATACCCAGAGGGACAAGTGGAGAAGCATGAACCCAACCCGGCGTGCGCCCAGGTGCACACCAAGGGGCCCTGACAGCTTGTATAATATGTACTTTAGGAATCGTCCGTTTGGTTTCTTTGTTTCCAAAGGGGTGGAGGGAAAGGGAATGGCCTATTCCTTGCACACACCCTCCCCTTGGTCTGCAGCCTCCTCGTCACATAGATGAACCCATTCACAGTACAGAAACACTGCGGACGAACGGGTTACAGCCACTGCGCAGCATACTTGGGCTATAGGTGAACTCACTCCCGACAAGACCCATCCTTTCAAGTATATATTATACAGACCGGAGAAAAGAAGGGAAACAGGTCATAGTTAACTCAAGCACAGTAACAAGAGAGGGGCCAATGGGGGCTACTTACTGATTAAAGGAATGTAAGTGTTAATACCCCCCCTTCCTGACAGGGGCACTGCGGCGTCATTGCCCAGCGAGACATCTGCTTGAAAGCTGGACGCTAATTTAATTTTAAAAAGAATAAAAAAAAAAAAAAAAAAAAAAAAAAAAAAAAACGTAAAAAGGTTATAAAGAAACAGCAAATTGAGAACATAAACAAACACCACTGCAGTTAAATGGCAGAAGTGGAAGTGTCTGCTGAAGCTCTACCTGCATATAACTCAGGGCCGTACACCGCTCCAACCACAGGACTCAACTTCCAACCTGAAACAACAAAGACTGCAGTGAATGCCAGAATCTACACCAAGAGAAGGAGCAGGCAGCGTGGGTACGGGGAACGGTCTCGTGCATGCGCCCCAGCTTCACATGCAGCAGCAGCTCTTTCCAATTTCTGCTTCACCACAATCCCCCTTGGTGTAGATGGAGGCCAACTGCTTGTTTTCTAACATCGAGGTCTAGGTGTAGGTTGCTGTACTGAAGGGAACAGCCAAACGCCAGCTGACCTGCAGGAGGGCACTGAGGGAATGCCAACTGCCTCAGACACACACTCGCCGCAAGCACCGCGCAGCTCCACATTCCCTGTGCGAACCGTGCTGTCAGCTCCTCCACGCATTCATGTCGAATGCTGTGGATCCAAAACCTCTCTGAAACCACAGGGAAGTCAATTTACACCTTTAAATTCTCAAATCACCGCTCTGTCATATTTGCTAGAGATCTACAAAGCAACAGTGATTGAGATTTCCTCACTAACCGGATTGCCTGACTGCATCGCAAAAAAAGCAATTCACTCTCCTCACCTCACATTTGCTCCTCTCTGTGTTATTTTAGAGTTTCCTATCACCTTTACGTTCCTTTTCAGATGAAAGCCTTCCCAGAGAATTGGTTTTAATATCATCTGGATAATCGGCAAGAACTGAAGTCATCAATACAAAACACACAGGAGAATAATGCTTAAAGGAGCCACCACTGGCCTGCCACTGTAGAAGGGAGTGAAGAAGAGCACGTTCCCCAGTCAAATCTAGAAACCCATCTGCCATGCCCATCACCTCTCTCTCTGGGCACACAAGATGGGTGTAAAGCTAACAGCATGATCTGGGCTGGTGTGGAAAGAGGAGGAAAGACTCAGCTCAGCTAGCAATCACGCAAGCATTTCTATTGGAATAGATTCCTATCTTTCCTCTGTCTTGCTTTAGGAGTCCTGATACACACACTACACTTTCTCCACTCCTACCCAGCCTAGAAACCACACGAACAATTGTGTGAGGTGCAGCCCATCAACACCATTCCCTCATCTGAACCAATGAGATGCAATGCACGCTCCCTCTGTGAGCCTGAGCACACTGTCCTGCACTGCATACCTTATTAGCAAGCAGCAATGTGAGTGATGGCAATAACAGGACTAGGACCAGTCCCACGATACAGAAATGCTTGTACCACCACTTGTTAGCATGTCTTACACCTGGCCTAATAACGAGTCCTTTGCACACCTTTAAAGCAAACGCTGCTGACTGTTAAAGCACAATATTCCTACCTGTTACCACATTTCACAAGTCATTTTTATGTAAGACAGGTTTTGATACCAAACAGCCATGCACAATTTCTACCCTTCCTCTCATGCAAATGTAACATGGCTGTACTGCCGCTCACTATAAGATTTCCTAATTCCTTTCAAATACTAAAAGCCAGAATCTCAGTCTTTCTGCCTGTCCCTGTTTCCCCAGTTCAGTAACCAAAAAAAAAACTACATGATTTGTCAAGAGCCGCACAACAACTCAGCAGCAGAGCCACAAATAAAATCCTTATTTTCTCGTTTCTGAATCTTAGGTTGTAATTAGAATGGATTCTTGCACTAGCAATTACCTATGCATAGCTTCCCGCTTTTCAAGACAAGAAGAATTTTTCCTGCCTGGTTCAGGACTAAGATTCAGTTTCAAAATGTTTATCAAAGCAGCATTCAGTTCAGTCAGGAGAAGAATGACTTTTTAATGCTATATATGCGCCCACGCAGTAAAATCACTGCATAGACAGGAGAACCTAGACAGCCCAGTAAAACAGGACTCTTCATTGCCCAAACAACTTGGTCATTCTCTATTCAGGTTTGTTGGAAAACGACTGAATGCCAGACACAGCCTGTAACAAGGGAACATACAAATAGCCCAGTGCCTCTATTTTCCCAGCTGCCTGGGGACACTTGCACTTTTGCTGCTAGAACTTGAGCTGAGATATATCCAGCTATGTATCCTCAGTGATACTCCATTTGCATTCAGGTATTTAAGCGACGGTCAGCCCACTGCAGGCACAGCATCAGCTTGCAGCAGTGGCAGGTGAAACATCAGACCTTGGGTTCCCTTCCTAGCTTGGCAATACTGGGCATATCACCACTCCTCTCTGCCCCAACTTCTCCACCTGAAAAATGGTATTCCTTCATAAACTTGTACAGTTACACTGAAGTATCAAGCTGTAGATTAGAGCTCGGGAGTCATTTCCCTTTTTGGGGAGAGGGTCTGGGTTGTTTTTTTTTTCAGCTGGGGAGGTCCTGATGAGAGCCCATGACCTTCCCTCACCAGGAAACTTAAGTCTTTCTTCTAATCTTTCAGCTCATCACTAGTACAAACAGTCTCTCTTACCATTTGCATATGGCGTGACCATCTTCTTATTGGTCATCACTCGTGCTGTGGCGTTGTTAACCTACAAGCAAAAAGGGGACGGGGAGGAGAGGGAAGGAAGCAGAGGGCATTAGGGAAAATGATGGAAAACTCTGATATCACACACACACACACACACGCACACGCACACACGCACACATACACACTATACTTTTCTGAGCAAAAAAAATTAAATAACTAATTTTACAAGAATGCAGTTTTAAAATTACTTTTAACAATTGCCATTTAATTTTAAATGTTACAGCTAAACATGGCACTTTAAATTATGCATTAAACAAAAGGCCAACAAGAGTAAAGTGCAGATTCTCAGACACCCTGGCACCCCCTGGTGCATGGTTACCATCAGCTCGTCCTTCTGAAGGGCAAAATATTTGGTGCTCACAGCTGCAGCCCAGGACAGGCAAGTGAGGCAGGTGATGCACAAGCTGATTTGTTCCTCAAGCTCACCACTGGATTGGGGCCCACAGATCACAGCCAGGTTTGAGGTAGAAAAACGTTAACCTGCAGCCCGTCAGCTTAAGATCTGAACTGCCATGGTTTGAGATTTTGGACAAGTCACAAAGTGTCTGGACAGACTGCGTTCACTTACTTGCTTCCCATCACATTTAAGTCTTTTTCCAAATTATTTTTTTCCCAAATAAAGAGAAGAAACGGATAGCAGTAGAGATGGGTCTTTCACTGTTGTTGTTTATTGTGCCCTCCACCCTCTTTACAGAGCTCTGCATCGTTCCAAGCGGTTTGATTGCTCAAGCAAGTGGGGTGTTACCACAGAGATGGTGCTGACAAAGAAAAGATGGACCAGTTTGGAAGCCAAGTTACTGCAGCCCTGCGTCAGACAGCCTCAGAGTTCTTGCAAAGAGGGCGAAAGTCTTTATCCAACATCAATAATTTATCCAAAACATCTACCTAATGGGAATCCAGGTTAAGAAAAAAATACTATAAGAATAAAAGCTGCTCTGGGCCCTTGAGACTTAAAGAAAGGTGAGCGTATGCAAGGTGGGGAATCTGGAACTACATTTACTCTCGTTTTAGCCCCGAAACAATTGAAACATTTCACATTTAAAAAGAAAGAATGGGAAACAACAATGATGAGACTGAGAGCATGCAGTTAAACACACACAGATAAAAGAAAGAAAAAAAACACAATTGATTCAGAGGGTGGGGAGGGAGGAGGGAGGAGATAGGGTCTCACAGACAATCATTAAGATGGAGCGAGTGCCTGAAATCAGCTGCTACAGCAAAGTGCAACACAAGCACTTAAAGGAAAAATTGCCAGAACTGATCAGAAACCACCAGTCAGCAAAGAGACCAACAGCTGCATTTAACCGAGTAAAGAAATAAACTGGGAGAGTGGAAAAAAAAAAAAAAAAAAAAAGAAAAAAGAAAAAAGGAAAAAAAAAAAGGTAGAGGAAAGGAACAGTAACAGCTACAAACAGGTCTCAGAGCGGCAGAAAGAAGGGGCAGGAGAGAGAGAAGAGGAAATGAGTGCATTAATAAAAACCAGCCAAACTGGAGTTCAGTAACTCTGAGTAAGATGTGCAGGGGGAAAATCACCATGAAGTCAGTAATCAAACAGCTCAGACTGCTACAAAACGATATGTACATCCAAAGTCCAGGCGGCATTACTCAACAGCATTGAAAATAAAAGGGGGAGAGGGGGGAAGGAGGTGGGTGGGGACAACAAGTCAAATCACATTTCGTTGTGTTAATGTGAGATGGCAGATGGATTTTTTCTTTCTTAATTTTGTTTTTTTTTGTAATTTTAAGAAAAATTAAAAAAAAAAAGCTTCTTCTCTAGCGCTTTCGTTTCACTTACCGCCAACTCGTACCATCGCCAGCATTGTGTATAGTTACCATGGAAAGAGTGAGTCAAGTGAAGGGCCCTAAACGCTAGACCATCGAAAAGGGAAATAAAAAAAAACAAAAAACAAAAAACAAAACAAAACAAAAACAAAAAAAGCAAAATATGCAGACATCTTACTCAAAACGGCGGCTTTTGTTTTTTGCTTTCATATTCGTTCAAATATTTGTACTTTTTGTTTGCTTGTTTTCAAGAAGGAGGGAGAGAAGGAAGAGCCAGTTAGCCTTCACCACGGTGGATCACCAAATTGGCCAGCTCTGGGCCTACCCCGCATCGACGGCCCCGCCGGCCGCCCAAAATCACCCCATCGCACCCGTCTAGGGCTCACATGAGAGCCAGGAGCGTCGCAGCCTCGCTGCCCCCCACCTCCCTGCCCATCATCTCACGCTTGTGTGGAGGAGAACTGGCCTCGAGGAAAGAGAGGAGACTGGCTGGCCCCCTGCTCTCTGTGCAGGCACAGAGTTACAAGTCGGACAGTACTCTTTCAGTTAGTGTCATTCAGGCCTGATAACAGGAGACCCGAGCCTCGCAAACTGAAGCAAAGGAAAAAATCAAGACAGCAGAAGGGCAAAAATTTGGAGTGGGTGGGGGAAAAAAAAGGAAAAAAAAAAAAAAAAAACTCAATAAAAAAGGAAACGGAAAAGAAGAATACCCAAAACAACGATAAAAATATTTCGTAAAGGGGTGTAAAACTTGTATACATTTCAGTGCAGGGAGGTGAAGGACACAGACACAAACACACACGCACACACGAGACGGGGATCCAAATGTGAAATAAGTGAGGCAAGACACAAAAAGAAATCAAAAGAATAAATATAAAGAAGAAATTGAATTACTGAAGACATGCACCTCGATTTTACGGCCCTCTACCACGGTGCCGTGTAATTTCTCCCTGGCCCTGTCTGCATCAGCACTATTCTCGAAAGTTACGAACCCGAATCCCTGCATGCAGCGGGAGAAGGGGGGAAAACATGCACATCGTTATATATTGAAATACTGATCTCTAGGTAAATAGAGAAAAAATATCACAGTATGAAATCGACATCAGCACAACTCAGCAATAACCTCCTAGAGTCACATTGTTGGTTCATGCATGTTTCATAAATGAAAGAAATTAAAATTCAATAAAACAAAAGGAACTGTAATCATAATAAGAATAATAAGAGTAATCAAAAAAAGAAAACATAAAAGCAATTGAGGCCAGACCAAAAAAGAAGTACCAAGTTACTCGAGACAATTTGTTTTGTTTTAAGGTGGGTTTTTTTTGTTGCTGTTTTTGTTTTTTTCTTTTTTTTTGTTTGTTTTTTTCTTGTCAAAGAACTGGCAGAGGCAGCGAGTTACGTCCTGTCCCTGACAGCAAACACACGCAGTGCTGAGCCTGCTGCCTGCCCCGGGCACAGGACAGGACAGCACAGCACTCTGATCTCTTGAACATTCACTGCCATCTGTGTTCCTGGCATCGGGAACTCTGCGAAGCTTTGGGCAATTCAAACACTGAACTTTGCTTTTCCCACCTGTAAAATGGATACATTAATAATCACCTACCTTGGAGAACAGCTGAGAGGAAGGACTGTTTGTAAAGCATCCCTTGCAAGCTCTTCAGGGCACAGCTCACGTCTACTTCTACGCCTATGACTTCCCTAATAATGCATGGGGCCCTGAGAGAAAGGAGGGCTTCCAGGTAGCATCAGGAGAAGAACATCACTCAACATAATGATTTAGAGCAATTAACGTTGTTCTTGTTTCCATACTTTCCTACCTGTGCCATGTTGGACCTGCTGAAAACCTCAACACAGACCTATTGGTAAAAAGAGGGTTTTTCTGGCTCTTCTGGCCTACTGTTCCCTCCTTCAGTGACTGCCACCCCTCTTACTTCGCTTTGTTCTAAGATGGCAACCTCCGTTCCATGGGTGGTGATCTCTACCTAGACACATTACAAAGCTCACAGCAACAAGCTCAGGGATGTACCAATGATTTAGATTCACCTAGTCTAGTAGGACACATGCAATGCTTCTGTCCTACACGCTCACATGGCCATCAACTCAAGCGGTTGGGTACAAGGGCAGTGGAAAACATGCTCACTTCCACGGAGGTGAGTGCTCTGACAGTCAAGCAGATCTATGACTAAGGGGATTAGGAATTTAGCTTGTAGGAAATGGTGCCCTACCACAGACAATTAGGAGGAGATAATTTTCATGCCATTGCAGAGAGCAGGGCCAAGCTGAAAACTTGCCTGCGTTTTGCTTTCAGGGTACCTGAAGAACAGGAGGAGAAATGGCTTCTATGGCTTATTATACAGCAAATCCCAGTTTAACGCAAAAGCAGGAAGACCAAAGTCTGCATCCAACGCAATGGAAACTCCTGATAGTAAGCAGAGCAGTGGCTAAGCTGATCAATTGCAAGCTATGCCTTGTCCGGGAAATGGCATGCTAGCCTGGCAGCCTCTCCATGAAGTTCAGGGTCGGGATACGTGGATACTCAAAAAATACCATCTTGACTTCTAGGTACTGTTAGCAACAAGACACAAGCAAGCCATCACTCTGAGTGGTTTTTAAAGAGCTGCACCACACTATTCTTAAGAAGCCACCTTGCACATGCTGCCCTTTATCATCCACAGCGAGGCTTCCAGCACAAAACTGTTACATGTTTGTAAAATGGGATGTAGCCTTTTTTTTTTTTTTTTTTCCTTTTTCCTCTCTCAGGAACAGCAGTAATAAAAACAAACAAACAAAAAAACCCAAACTTGGATATCCCAATAACGTCACACTGAAACCAATAAGAGCTCTCCCTTTTGGGTGCCAAGTCTCTACTCTAAAACTTCAGATAATTTCTTTTCTCCACTTGAAGGAAATAAATGGCTATACAATAACAAACTGTTGCTTTTTTCAGAACAACGAATGCTTTCAGTTGCAATGAATTAAAATCAGAGCTACAAGAGATCAGGGCCAATAAATCAGTCCAACTACATGCAACTCTGTAAGAGGTTGCAGGGAACTGGGGGGTGGTATAATAACAAAGCTGATTATGAAGGGACAGTGTATTGTATCTGCTTCAAAGAACCCTTACAGAGAAAGGGGAGACTGAGAAACAGAGTAACACGTTTCCCTCTGTTCGATATAACGGGGAAAAAAGCACCTTTAAAAAGGTCTGAGGAGGAGGGGAGGAAAAGACTGCGACAGCAATCTCTATTTCCCTCTTCTCTTTTGACATGAAAATTTTTGTTTGTTCTAGAAAATCCTGCAGAGCCTGAGCACGATTTATGTCTTCTGTGATTCTGTGCACTGAAAGCTGGAGAACAGAGGGAAGGTAATTTTTTAGACATTAGCCTGTGCAGACTAGAACCAAATTAAGACCATTTAAATTCACATTTATTCTCAATTAATGAAGTCTGTAAGGGACTTCAAAACATTACCATCAAATACATTTAAAGTGACTTGGAATTTTCAGTATGTTTAGTAAGTTAAATCAAGGTAGGGTGCAATCCACATGCAGACTAGATAGGAATAATTAACAACGTGAATTAAAACAGAGTTGATTTGATTCTGAACAACATACCTAATTAACTAGATTTTTTATTATTCACAGATCAATCTTCAGCTTATGCAACTCTTTGTTGAAAACCATTTAACATCAATGCTGAATTAACACTTTACATAGTCGACTATGATAGAGTCAATATTTGTGCCCGCTTGGTTAGTCTTCTTAATGCAACTCTTAAGACATTCAAATTTTCATCAGGAAAAATAAGTGAGCCATGCTTGACATTTCTATTATTTCCAGGTTTGAAAATCAGCAGTTAAATACACATTTTTGATGCGGGGAAGAAAAATTATACATGTATTTTAAATTCCTTCTTACAGATGACCTGCAAAGAATAGGGATTAATTTGTACCTAGAAACATATACCACAAAGCATTCTCAGTTTTCCCTCCCAAGGTTGTCTGAACCACAAAGAAAAAAACAAGAACAGGAGGCAGATGACCAATGTCTGCTAGCTCAGATCTATAGCAGGTACTGGTTTGCCCCACGGTACTATGCATGCAGCCAGAGGAAGGGAAGATGCAATCCTGGGTTAAAAAAAAAAAAAAAAAAAAAAAAAAGATGACTTAAAAGTATCTAGATAGAATTTATACAAATACCTTGAGTTTAATAAAGCTGTTAGAATAACAAGGTTGATTTTTTCAACATTTCCCCTCCACCAACAAATGCCGGGAACTTTTCCCAAGCAGAAAATAAACGTAAGCCTCAATGCACCCAGCGGGCACTGAATAACCCCAGCAAACATTTTCAGAACTTCTGAGCAATTTGCAGGGCCAGCCTAAGCCCCCTTTTACCCAAAGGTTTATTCAAAGGGCCTGAAGAGACCGAGTAACTGTCACCCTTTTAGTCTGGCCTCAGACTCTGCAATAAATAACAAGCAACATGATGAGCAGTGTCAAAATAAATAAATAAATAAATGTATAGAGAGAGTATTTGAACGTTTCCATCTCTGAAGAATGAGAAAGAAAATTTACCATGTAACCGTAAAGGGAGAAATCAAAAGCAGACGGTTCTCCTGGGTGTGGCCAGAACACAGAAATTAAACAAAAACAAAAAAGAACAACAAAAAAAAAAGAACAAAAAATAAAACAAAAAAAAAAAACAAAAATAAAAACAAAGGAAACTAAACAGAGCCCCTTGAAATCCATGCATTGTTAACCCTTCATTTGTCATGGAGTTTAGACAGTCACCTCAGCAGCAGAGTCTTTGCCTTGTACCCCCACAGAGCACGCAGCCAGCAATGGGCTTTGCCTTCCTCTACTGCTGTGCTTGTTTTTGAACAGATTATATATTCCCCCTTCCCCTTCCCCACATATGTAAACCAACTTTTGGGAGCCTGCAGAAATGGCCAAGAGACATAAGTTTAGGCTACCTGTTTCCAAGGCATTTGAGAGCGGAGGAGGGTTTCAGTGTAATCCACCTGAGATGAGCAGGACTGGGATGCACCAACAGGAGCACAGCCCACAGTTCAGAAGCACACCTTACCTGAGTTACATGCACACGCTTCAAACTGGTGAGAGAACCAGTGTAAACCAAAGCTGCCATCACTTCAGCAGCCCTTCCACTTCCCCATACGACTCCTGAGCGTGTCTTGAAATTAAAGGCCCTGACCATCGACTTGCGCTACCTAGTGAACCAGATGCAGGAATGTATCTAGCTAAAAACAAGAGAAATGAGAGCTTATCTTCTGCTGGCTTAATATCAAACTCTCCCTCTCTCAGATCATTTTTTTATTATCGTTTTTAAATCCATTCCCCCACATCTTGGCTAATTTAGCAACTCCCTGCCCAATGAAATGAGCACCACCACGAAGGTGCTCTGTCCCATAGGGGCTTTGCGATATCAGGCCATCAACTTCAACCTTAATTACTCAAATTGAAGTAAACCAGTTCACAGGGTGTGGACCAATTTTAATTCACTTGTTTATGATCAAGGAGTTGAAGGTAGCCATGGCATTACACTGTAATTGAGCAAACTGAGAGTAAGGGACAAAGGTCACATCTCTCTTCAAGCCACCAGTATTATAAATTTGTTGACCTAAGAAAGTGACACTGGCTGGCACCTTGTATTTAAACCTCTGTGTTAGTAACATCTGAATTTCTAGCTCAGCTGATGACATCTGAACAAAACTATAAAAATAGTATTAGAATGAAAACTGTTACCTCTGTAACAAGAGAGTGTATCTATCTATTCCTTGGGCGGGAACTAGGTCCAGAACTGCAGCAGCTAACTCAAACTATCTACTCCACTCGAAGAAATAAACATGCATGCAAGCATACAATCTTTTAGGCAGTTACTAGAACCTAAATATCCCTATCTTAGCCTGCAGTTAACAGCAAGCAAGATTTATGTGTTTCCATACAGCTTTCTATACGATTTTCTAGTTAGTACAGATGTATTTAAGGATTTTCACCCACTAAAGATGTGCATTCCCCTTGTGAAGACCAGATGTAAGCAACTATACACACAACTATTGAAGAAGATACTGCACTTCGACACTTGACTCCTAAACAAGAATTCAGAGACCACTCTCCTTTTTTATCGACATGGGCTTTCTAACTGGAAGGTAACCCTGAAATCTAGGCTTTCAGTCTGCGCTAACACGACTCTTACCACACAGAAACCCAAAACATGCTCCTTCTTCAGCCAAGGTTTTGTTGTGTGCTTACGTGCTCTTGGTATCTGAATGCCACTGAGGCCACATCTCAGAATGCCACCCAGCAGACAGCATGGAGTAGGGAGCTGGGATTCCCCTCCCCTGCAGCTTTATGAATGTCATGGGCTTCTCATTTCAAGTGCTGCTAGGGCAGAATGCATTAATTCTGCAAATATGTCCATTTGTTCAGTTCAGCACAGCAGTGCCAAAATATGCATCTACAGCGCAGCTCCACAACCAGAGGTGTAGGAATCCCATCTCTCAGCTTCCTCTGGAGGTGTTTTACTCATGGTTCAGTGAAGCGCATGGCGAATTGCAACCATGAGCAGAATGCTATTTCTAGGCATTTATTTATATGGGTCAGAACTAGAATTGTAAAGGCACACAGTACAACTGGAGCAAACTGATAGCTTCCCGAAAGCAAGCAAAAAGTAATAAATAAATTGAGGGAAGACTAATGTCATCCTGTCATACAATCTAAAGAAAGAACTAAATGAAATTCAACAGATGTTTCGAGTTTGTATCTTGTTTCCAATGTAGCTAAACAGCATTGGTGTGAAGTCTACCCACATAATCCTACTAAATAGATTGAATCCAGGCAGAAATCAAGTTAGGGAACAATCATTCACATTGCTTTCAGAGAAGAATCAGCAAAACTAATTATTAGCTGCCTCCTAGACTGCCGTGATACGGAAAGACAACAAATAACACTTCCTAAGCCAAGCACAAGAACCTGAGGCATGAGGTGGCTGTGACGTGCACACACTGCTCTTACAAACTTCTTAAATGCAGAGACCCTGAACACACAGTCTGTCTGGTATGGTTCCCTCAGGCACACCACTACGGCTGTGGAAGAACACTGCCTGGTCATCTCAGATGGATTCAAAAGGCAGATTACCAACTGCAGCTCTCCTCCATGCAGGCCCTCCTGCCCGCCATCACTGGAACAGGCCCTGGGACAAAGAGCTGCTCAGGGCCATCGTAGCCTGGGTGGGCAGTTTGGGATTCACTTGTACCTTTTAAATATTGAGAAAAGATACACACAAAACTCTACACCCTTAGGAACCCAGGGAAGGGGAGGGAGCATTGAGAACACAGCACAAGGCAGGCAGCAGGAGCATCTGCTTTCGGATTCCCAAAAGAGAGGAGGAGGAGGAGAAGAAGAGAGAGGTTTCATATCATTAGATTAGAATGGAAACCACAGGGCAGGAAAATGCATTCAGATTTTTTTTTTCCTAAGGTGGAGGAAGAACCCAAGAGTGAGTGAGCGGCCTCTAGAAAGATCCGTTTCCTTTGCTTCACCATCAGATCACCAGACTGTTGCTTTTCCATTATTATGTGAATACCAGGTGCTTCGTGCAGCTACACCCCACTCAAACACTGGGGCCTCCCATTTTCATGCTAAGCAGGAATAATCTCACATTCTTTTAAAACACCGATTATTTTAGCTTGAGAAGGATGCAGGGGTACCACAAAATTATTCGTTGAGTGTTTACTCATTCTGTTCAGATTCTGCCCCATCCCTCACATTAGCTATCAGCTCTGCAACTGCTTTTTGCTGTAAGATGACCAAAAAAAGCAGTAGGAAACTGCATGGTCATGGACTGGAAGAACATCTCTTTGGATCGCTTTATTTTTTCGTATGTTTATTAAGGGTTTGGAATAAAATTGGTCAAGGAACTCTTCAGCAACTATTTTTGTTTTAACTGAAAACCAGAAGCCTTGATCTTTAACAACTGCAGAAGAAAATATCTTTCATAACAATAAATCAAGTCTTCATAGAAAGTCTCCAATGTTAGTGTTGCCTAGAAGGAAAAGGGCAGCAGTGGGTGTTTATATAGGGCTGTATGGATGGCAAAGCAAGAGTGAAGTTCACGTGCAGAGAAGAAAACATTGTGCTGGACGGCGCAGGCAGACGAAGATGAGGGATAGAGCTCAGCACTTTGTCAGGCCAGTTATTTTTGTTCTTTCTTTTGGACTTACGTCCAAAAAAAATAGGGATTTTGATAGAGGCCAGAGGCTATTCCCAAAGCCAAATAGAAATGACCAAAATTGAGACTAACTCGCAGACAGCTCTGGCCTATAAATATCAGAAGAACAGCAGAGAGCAGAATAAATATTTACAAACTCAGCATAGCTGATTGTTTTGGTAAAGCGTATAGATTTTTATCCCCAAAGGGCTAAAGCTCTCTAAGTAAGCCATAAAGGCATTTACTCTTGCAGACTGCTTTATTAAAACAACAAAAAGAAATAAGAAATACCATGTTTGGTGGTGGGGATTTAAGCACAAACTAAGCGTGGAAAGGGAAAGAGCCAAATCTCATTTGCTCTGTAGGCAGATCAACTGCTTTCTGGTTTCCAGGTATCACAGAGACTGAAGAATTTCAGAATGCATCTTGGGGAACACGGGTTGAATTTGCAGAGGGCTCTGAACATGAACAGACCCCAGAAGATACATTAAAGCAAAGAGGCCACGTTAAGATAGTGAACCTCAAATCCAGGAGACAGACATACAAGCTCTAAACTGAAACTGCTTAGCTGAATTGCAACTTCAAAATCTCTTGTGTGCATGCACACATGTGCACACACGTGTACGTGGGGAGCAGGGAAGTTTTGTTTTAATTGAAAATGGGAATCTTAGCATTGATTAAGTCAAGCAGAGTATAGACATGCACTGTGCAAGCTTCCCCCATAGAGCTTTGGCAATGCACCTTGCTCCTGACCTGCAAAATTCCCTGCTATTCCAGTGCTGAACCTCCTGGGCAGAGAGAGAATCACATCAATTTGTCATTGTGGTGACACTGGTTACATGATGAGAACCAACTGCCAATTAGGACAAAGATCACTGAATCTCTCTGCAATTGACCTGAGCAACATCTGAAATTTCATTTTGAAAGAAATAAATTACTACTGGCTCTCAACAAAACCTCCCTCTTAATACATTTTAAGAATGAAGATAGGTGTTCAAGTGCAAATTCAATAGGGAGAGTTCCACAGGGGCAGGACAAGGGGAGTTGGGATGCTTTTATTAAGTATCAAATATCTCAAATGTGAAAGGTCAGCTTCTCAGAAATATGAGCAAGTCTACAAAAGAGAATAAGCAAGATCCTTCCACATGTTAGATATTACACTTATTCTAGGGGAATATTTTAATGCAATCGAGATGTGGTTTCAGGTGGTAGGGGGGTGGGGGCAGGGCAGTCAGCCTTTGTTTCTTTATTATTATTATTTTATAAATATATATATATATATATATATATTTTTTTTTTCTTTACCAGTTCCCTTCATGTGACACTGATTTAATTTACTCTGCCCTCCCCACAGGGCACCCATTGCCAGGGCAATGAGAAGGGGTTGTTATGAAGGCTCAAGTGACTCCCTGTTTGTTCAAAAGATTGGGAACCCGATCCCTTATTACAGATGGGAGCATCCAGGAGCATTCATACATGCTGCCCAGAAATGACCATGCTCAGAGTCTGGAGTCAGAGGGAACAGGAGACAGTCCCCAGGATAGCTTTTCCCTTCCCCCATCACACTAATTCCTGGTGATCCCTACACAGTATATTCTCTAGGCAACGAACTGCCTTTTACTCTGTGCAATCAAAACGTGAGAAGCGAGTACAGAAACAGGACTTACCTTGGAGCCGCGCTCATTAAAGATTATCTCTACATCAAGGATTTTGCCAAATTGCTGCAAAGAGACAAGGGGAAAAGAAAGATTTATTTTTGTCAATCCATTTCAGGTAATTTTTTGGGGCTGGCTAAACATAAGAAGGGAGGTGAGAATATTTCCATTCCTAGCATATACACATATACAAATTGCAGTGATGTGACTCAGTTCTTCCAGCTTATGACACGCAGATCCTCTTGGCCACAGACACAAGTTTTTTTCCTCACAAAAGCCTGAAGAAAGATCTCCAGAAGAGTTTTAGGGATTCCAGCTGGTCCCTGCACAGACCAAAACTGAGGAAAACAAGAACTACAAGTTAAAAAGGCTTCCGCACTGTGAAACCATATACTGATCACATCCTTTAGCTGGGAACACATTTTAGTGCTGCTATTGAACTGGTCACATTCAAACCAGTTATCTGTTTGTAAGGTGTTACTACTTCAACAGAGCCCCACAATACTCCACTAGAAATGCTGTATTTCCAAAAGTTTGTTCTCCAGAAAGACAGGTCCAAGATCTCATTCTCAGGAACACACATATGGAAGAGTCGTAATTGGTTTGAAAGCAATGTATGTCCCTAGAATTTAAGCATTTTTCCTACCCTGTTCTTTACAAAAGCTTTCAACATCACAGTTTTCCATCTCATCACCTGCAGAAGTTTTAAAGGGTGCAGGAAATGAAAGAACAGACAACAAAAGAAGAAAGGATGGTTCTACAGTTAGGAAAGATGATGAGCACCACCTCTAGGGACCAGCATCCTTCTGTTTTCTCACCATGCAAAGTGATATTTGTCAATTTTTTTTTTAATCAACGTTTCCATATCGAGTCAAGTGGGTATAATGCTTATTTTCTGAGTGCCCTGCTTGAAAGATTTGTGTCCAGATTTGCAGACGTGGAACATTTGCAACAGTAAGCCATGATGACTAAAGAGAAGCTTTGGATATGTAAAGCAGTAAAAAGCTATTAAGTCCCTTCAATCGTCTTTATGCAAATGAAACTCTTCCAACAATTTTAGCTATAGTTTCTGTCTGCTTCCATCTTCCATTCTTAAAAGGAGATAGTTGTATTCTTTTTACAAATGCTGGATCACAGATGTTGTTTTTACTGTTCTATTGTGTAAGGACAATACTTGATCTTCTATTCATCTCCAGAACAATTGAATGCATAATATCTTACGTTACACAAAGTTTGAATAATGTTAATGTAAACGTGAGCAGCGACTGCATCTTCCTTTAAGCCTCAACATCTCAACAGCTAGGCTTGATCCATGCTGGATCCTCTTTTGACCACTGCTGTGCCAATCACAGCTAAAATACATTTTCTATTTCTATCCCATGCTTGGTGTGGGCTTGTCTATAAAGGAGATTAGCCATTGATTGCTTTTTGTTGTCTTTGTTACTTGGGCACTGCCATGAAAGAAATCAGTCACGACTGCTTTCCTGATAAACTACAAGTGTTTCAGAGCAGTTACAAGACAGGCTGAACCAATCTGACAGCTTACAGCTGCCAAAGGGCTGCTCCCGTTCCTTCATCCTTCCTGCCTTCCTCTTTCCACCTTCCTGCCTGGGCTCACCAGCTTCCAAGAGCTGGCCCTAGTTCTCATTTTCACTCATATATCAACTGATAAAGCCCACCAATTCCATGAAAGAGCAGCCCAACAAATGGAATGAGTAACACATTTTTTGACGGTTTACTGGTCAGAACTGGTTCAAAGGGTCATGGGACTGTAAAGGCTTTGAGAAACAACAGAGGACGGAAAGCTGAATGCTCAGCCCAAGAGTGGAATCCATCCCTGCCACACCAGCTCAGCTGTCTAGCCTTGCCACACACGCTGAAACAGCCGGGCTCTTGATAAACACAAATGCCAAAATTATTTTCAGAAACTTCAGAGCCATCAAAAATCACCGGTTTCTTCTCCATTAGAGTTGTCTTAAAAGAGAACAAACTGTGCAGCTTCTGATGCACAATTATGCTTTGCCATCTTCCCCTTTCTCCACACCCAGCTGGGCCTGGATACTTGGGTATTGCTGCCAGAGCTGCTTGCCAGCCCCAATCGGCCAAACTCACTGCTCAGAGTTTCCACACCAACAGGAAACCTTGTCCTGTGCATTTAATTCCTAAGGGCTGGCAAAAAGCTGGAGGTAACGCTGAATGTAAGCGAAGCCTACAGCGGGCTGTGGCCACCTCACTGCTTTACCACGTAAGTTGTGTTTGATGAAGCAAGAGGGAAGAAACTAGGACATCAGCAGCTAACTGCTGAGGCCTGCTGGAGAGGTTTCGTGCTCTGTGAGATTCCTTGGAAGAAAGCAGAGAGGCCGTGAGGCGGTAGGACGTGTGCTGGGCTATCCAAGACTCTGCTGCAGCTGTTGCCACAGTTGCTCTGGCAGCTCTTGTCCTTACTGCTGCAACGGTTACAGCAGGTCCAGGACTGGAGGCTTTCATTTTTTGGTTGTGTGCCAGAATTTTCCTGGAGAATGAAAGCAGGAAAAAAGAACTAGTTCATTTTAACAGTTTATATCTCCTTCAAAGCTGAATCTAATTTAGTGGAACATAAAAAGGCACTTTGTTCTCTGATGGTGCTTCCCCTACCAATGTCAACAACCTACTGCAAACAATGGAAGTTTTAAGAGCTCCTTTGCAAAAGGTTACAAATTCTGTACAGATAAGCCAGACCATCTAAAAACAACGATCAACACCAAATGCCCCCGTATTAATTTTTTAAAATCATGCATACAGGCATGTTTGTGTTTTACAGCAGACAGTGGCTCTAGCCAAATAAAACAAGACCCGTGCTTATGTCATCCATGATGGGGACTAACCCTCTAATCTCTGACCTTGAAGGCATGAATCACTGTGCTCACAGACCTGATTCTTTCACTCAATTATTACCATGAATGTCTATTTACAACCCAGCAGAACAGCAGTGGAAACAAAATTCTGAGCCTCTAAAGAAAGCATAATAGAACTACACATCTCAAACATCATTCTTCATCATGACTTCAACAGCTTATTATGTGACTGAGAGACCAGCACATCACCCTGCACATCAGGTCACAAGAAGCCTTCTCCATGAACTGGCTGTGTGTGAGATATATAAGCACATATCTCAACCATATGTCAGGTATGCATATATGTACACACACGCTTTCAATCATGCTATGGCATACGACTCTCAGAATCTTGTTGTGTCTTAGTCCTCCACACCCTGAAGTGATCGTGCACGTGTGTTTTTTCTACAGTGGCAACAAGGGCTGTTGGAGATTACAGTTTTAAGGGGTATTAACAGACAACAGCTATGAACAGAAACCAATTTTCTTGCTTGAAGTTGATGCACCTCATAAAGCAAGGGCATTGTGAAAGGAGGAGCATGCATGCTGTGTGTGCTTCTTTCTACCCAGATGACATGAAGGCAGCAGATTTTTCCAGCAGAGGCCATAACTACATTACATATAATAAATTTGAGAGATCTGGCACCAGAGAGCTTTTGCCTTCCAAGGCACTGACAGTTTGGTAGGGCCCCTCCTGCGGGCTCTGTTCCAGCTGGCCCTACCTCCTCTGCCTGTCTAGAGCTTTCAGAAACCAGCTCCAAAATGTGCCAGACAAATAACTTAACCCTATAGAAGCCAGCAAGAGGGATTATAAGGTGAATTCTCTGGAAGTTATGGAACAATCAGAAGGTAACATAAGCCACTATCTGACAACCTCCAACTGCTGCAACAGATTCTTCTATGCCCAAGCAGCTATGTAATTCACTGAGAGATGAGTGCAGTAAAGTACCTAAACCCAGAAGATACCCAACAGTCCATTTTCAGTGAAGGTCTAAATTTCACTAGAAGTTCAACATCACCAAGAAACCAATTACTTACGTAGGAAATAATTTCAGGTCCTCAAGCCTGAGGTGCACAAGCAAGAACATTTTGTATGCAGGAGGGGTCCCTGCTGCAGTGAGTGCCCTTGCCCCAGCTCCCCACTTGATGGGATGTCTTTCAGCTGAGAACATCTCTGTCTGGAACTGCACCCACAGAAGCAGCAGAGACCCGAAGATGGGTTTGAGAGGACTCATCAAAACCCTTATTTGACAGTCCAATAGTCCATGACAGCTGCTGTGGCACACGTATTTCTGTAGAGGAGCACTGTGGTCCCTGGTGTGGCCATTCAGACAGAGCACGATGCTCAAGCAGTGCTGAGCGCACCACCATTCAGTCACAGAAGGTGACTCCAGGAACTGCACTGGTGAAACATCAGGATAAACAGCCTTTCTAACACTACTCAGATTAATCAGCAGAAGCAAAGGCCTGCTGCTGTCTTACTGCAGGAAGACCTAGGAGACGAGAGTTGTCATAAAGAGGTTTCTTGTCAGAACTCCTGTTCTGCAGTGCTGTCATACAGGACTCAATTACATGTAATCAAGAATCAGTACTAGACAGAGACTAAAGAAGCTGAAATCCATCTCAACACCCAAAAGATAGATTTTCTCCTTCGAATGTTCAATTTAATCAAAAAGCAGCAACCCTTTCCAGATCTTTTCTATTATTCTTGCTCCATCGTATTACTTGCCTACCTTAATACCTAGTGAGTAGTTTTCTGACATTGTCAATAGTTGCGTACCATGAATTACTTGTGGATTCAAATCCATTTACTGGCAGAAAGATCCACAGTCAACTTTTCAGCCTGAAAGCGTAGGCTCATAGAGGTGTTTTGCACTCTTGACACCAGAAGAAAGTTGGATGAGAAATTATACCCATTGATATATTTTAGGAAATGCAGAGGGCCAAGAAGCCGAGACTTTCAGGTTGCAAAACCTTCCAAGAATATCCATTACACAGCTCTCAGAGTTGAGTTTTTTGGATTACATAAAGCTCCCTTTGTCACCTGTGCTGGGCTGATGAGGTTTCCCCAACAGAAGCAATTAACAACCTACAGGTAGAAGCTATGACATAAGGCAGACAAGATGTTGTACTAAAAAGAAAAAAGCAATGCCATTTGAAGCCAGAGCCTGAGATTTCACACCCTTCACACTG